ATGGAAGACCGAGGAAGGCACAAAGGATGGAATTGGCCGCAGAAATGAAGGCGCACCGTTAGCACTGCTAAAGCGATACCTGCGGCTGCAACCTGCTCCAAGTGGCGTCCCAAGTATCGTCGAGTATCTGTCCGCGGCTGCTGTCAAGCAAGTGTACTTGGAGGCTACTGCGCTGGAGGGCGCTATTGGCCCAGTGGCAAAGTACCGGCTCCATCTGGGACCTCTATCCAAGGCATGGCCGAGGACGCAGAGCCCGAATTGCTCCATTCCAGCGCTGGAGGAGGTGGTGGTGAAATGAAGAACCTGGTATTAACGCCGTGTGCGGTCGTTGAATGAAGAGATTGTACATACGTGCGTTGTGTCTTGTGTAAGGTAGGTAGGCACAGCACCGATGGGATAATACCACAGATATGTATGTACCATCAATCTCTACTATCAGTGCTAGTATTCCATACCTACCTTATTACCTTGTCCACCAATATGGCACCAAATTCATAGACTCCAAGTGCTCTGCGGGTTAGTAATGGGCAACGGACCATGGATCAACAGCCTCCCTCCGTCCCTCCTTATCCGACCTCCGAGCGTGTTCTGTACCTGGACTTGTCCTTTGAACTGTAACCTCCCACCACCAACAAAGTGCTGCTCGATCACAGGCGGTGGAGCTGCAATTTATCAGGAACCCTTGGAATGTCGCGTCCACGGCGTGGTCCACCGGCTCTCCGCTAGGCTGTTCTTTAGTCTTTAGGGGACAGCAGGGGGGAGGGGGGGGGGGGGGGACATTGAACATGAGCCTTGGGACCTTGGGGGGGCGTGCGCCTCTAGCGTGCCGGAGCGCTGCATGTATCCTGGCGTTGCTGCCCGTTACGACGAGACATTGCCCTGCGTCCGCATCTGGCGCAGATTCCACCCCTTCTGGAAGTTGTGCTGCATCGTGGGCCTGCAGCCAGGTACATGGATTCCGTCCGGTGCACTTCCCACGAGCCAGGCCTCTCAAGCGCTGGGCTGGACCGGTGGGTGGTGGCGGTCCTCCGTCACTGCAGCACTTACAGCAGCCGGGCGTGCCCAGGCGCTGTGCTGTGCTGTGCTGTGCTGTGCTGTTCCCAGCGCCAGCGACAGAGGGGGGTCCCAGTGGATTCCATCATGCTCAGAGGCTCTCTCTGCTGGCTGGCTCAGCGCCTGTGCCGCCCGCCTGAGTACCGGATCGTCGTCTGGAAACTCGGGTTTGGCAGCTAAACAGGAAGCTTCGTCCCCACCGTCTCCGGACAAGAACCAGCCCGGCCCTTGATTACCTCTGCTAGCACCTCCGACTAGTATTTCAGCTTTCGCTTCTTTCTCCCCCAGGCTCCATTCCGGTGAATCCCTCATTTCGCCGTTTCTCTTCTTCATTCTTGTTTGAGATACCTCTTGCTGCATTGCCTTCTTCGTTGCTCTTCTCTTGACCCACTGCCGCCCGGCTTCTCTTCTCGCTTTGCTCAAGCCTCGTCCTCTCTCCCCGGACGGCCAGGCGAGAGGTAAATAAGATACCCAGAAAAAGAGGAGACAGGCAGGCAGGATAGGAGACGGTCCCTCACTGTCCAAGTCCTCCCGTCGCCTCAAAGAGCGAGCCCAAGAACCGCTTGGCCTTGCACGCACATGTACTCGGTTGAGAGAGAGGCGATTTCGTCTTTGCTCGTGTTCCTCCTCAGCATGTGCTGTTGACAGGGCCGACTCAAAATCCCGTCCTCCCCCCTTCAGCGCCTTCAGGAGCCGCAACCTCACGGCCACTCGCCATGGACTATCTCGACGGCCTCCTCCTCGTTCCCCCGGACCGGAACCACATCCTCGCCAAAGCGCAATGGAAGGTAGGTTGGGCTTTGGTGCTGATTTGCTGCCAATGCAGCTCCCTACTCTCCCGATCAATGTATCGTCTAATCCGCTTCCCTCTGCAGACCCGATATGTCTTCGTTGGCAGGCGGACTGCGACAACGACAAACAAGCAAAAAGACCGGCAGAGCGCCCATGGTGCAAAGTCCGCCGTCTCTGATCCTAAATCTCTGACCAAGGTGTATACCGATGAGTATTGCCTCTCGGTCTACAAGGCCAAGGTAGGTCCTCATGCGCTTGGCTCCTGCTCTACCCCTCGCCAAACACACATGATCTCTAACCTGACACCACTATTATTCAGGAAGACATGGAACCCGCTTACCAATGGCCCACGAGCTGCGTCCTTGACTGTCAAGTCCAGATGCTTGCCTACCGAAAGCAAGGGCCTATCCAGCCTACGCTGGTTGTCACCATAAGCGACAAGGAGCGAAAGCGTCGCTCCAGCCGATCTGTGGGGTTGATGGCGAGCAAAGACGCTGGGACCAGCACTCTGTGGTTTCGAACGCCGCCCGACGACCACCATAGCAGCCTCCACGACTGGGCTTCGTTCATCCTGTCCAAGAAGAATCCCGCCGTGGCGGACGGAAGCACCACGCCGATATTCTCGAGCCCCTTTAGCCCCCGAAGCCGCGAGGCTCCAGACAACTTCCCCCCGAGGCCCGACAGCGGAAACCAGGCCAACACCAGCCGCCCAGATGCGCGCGCCCTACAGCACAAGAGCTCCAGCGCCACGTACTCGACGGGCCCTCGCGAGCGGCCAGCCACGTTTAGCTCTGACTCGCCGAGTCTGCGGTCCAAGCGAAGCGACATCTCCTCGCCGTCCAGCATCAGCCAGCACCCCATGCAGAAGGCATTTGCAGCTCCGGGTCCGATCTACACCGGGCCGATGCACGGCGACTCGGGGCTGCCTCCCATCCGAGACTCGATCTACCAAGGGGATTTGATTGAGGGCTGGACAGCGGCTCAAGGGCGGTCATCCACCTTGAGCTCACCTACACGGGGCCCCGAGCCATTGGGCTCTCCAATGGAGGCGCCCTTGGGTTTCGACGTCCATGCGCCACCTGCCCCTGGCGAGACGATTCTCGACAGAGCCTTCCAGCTGGGCCACATCCCGTGGGCCGGATCGAATGTTCCTGGCCAGGAGACGTTCAGCTCCATCGCCCGCTTTGATGCCCTCATGCACGAAGTAGAAGACAAGCGCAAGCAGAGAGAGGCGACTCGGCGCGAGGAGCGGGCGGCTGTGCGCAACACGTACAACCCAAAGGCGACGCCGCTGGAGCTTGTTGACGATTTCGACTCGGAGGAGAGTGCGCATTCTGCAGATGAACAAGATCATGGCTATGATAGAAGCCCTATCATCTCCCCCTCAGCCCAACGAGCGTTGGCGTTCATTGCAAATAGGCATGGGGATGCACCTCGGGAACCTGGATCACGACGTCCCACGATATCGAGGACTCATCTAAGCTACCATGCGGGTGCGGCGCCTCCACCGCCCCTGCCGCTACCGACTTCTCAGTCTCCTCCTTCACGGCCGCATACAGCACACGCCAAAAGCCGCCTCAATCCATCGCAGAGAACCCAGAGCACGCCTCACCTGAATCCAGATTCTGCCGGCAGGAGCGTCGAGAGCGGGTTTGGGCAAGACGATGCGGGCAGTCGGCGATCAGGCTCCAGCTCCAAAAGGTTGAGTTTCTCTGACTTCACCAGGCGGCTCTCAAGCACCAGCAGCTTACTGGTAGTCCAGACCAACACCAGCGGAGACAGCCGTCGGGGGAGCGTTGACACGGATCTCCACCCCCTCAGCGCTCGACGACCGGATGTGAGCCATCGGGACACTGTCCCTCCTCCCAGGAGCCGGGAATGGCAGAGGCAAGATCGACAGTGCCCCTGGCGCAACAGCGTTGGCGTCGTTGGACCCGAAGGCGGATTCCTTTGAGTCTGTCCAAGGTGCATTCTTTCAACCGTTGTTTTTCACCCATCTTTTCATCCATCATCTTATCGTAACGACGCATATCAGAGACGACTTTTGAACGCAAGCAGGCCGGGCCGAGTGCTTGAGCGAGAATCTGATTCACAACTACATAATATCATATGCATGACGAACATATTATCTCCACATACATCTTTTATTGGCATCACTACGACGCATATGACGGGGCCTTCTTCTTTTTAGCCTTAGCATGACTCCGGCGTTGGTTTTCGGCTTATCTTGAAGTGTACAAATCTTTTATTTCTCGACTTTCTCTTCTATCCTTTTGTTTTCTCTTGGCCATTCTTTCGGATATGGCTCATTTCACTTCTTTGTCGTTTGAGCGCAAAAGGGCAACCAACAATCCCTGGACAAAGAAATCTTTCCTTCTTTCAACGTGGGTGGTTGGGCAGAGAATTGTTAGATATTCCATTTTCTCTTTCTTGCTATCTTTCTTCCTTTCTTGCCCTTCACTCTTTCTTTTCTCTCCTTGTCCTCCCTTGGTATTTCTTAAATCAGATCGCCGAGAGGAGAGATACTATTTCGTAAAGTGATGACGAAGAGCATCTACAGTTTTGAGTCTCTACGGGATTTCCCAGCCTCCTCCGACCTTTGTTGAGTTGCGTGGGTAGATAGTGGCTGTGTTGTTCTTGGATAGCTTCTTGTACAAATATATGTTGAATCGTCTCCCGAGCCCTCCATCAGCCAGTTGTTGTTTTGTTACAAGACCAGGTATTACCCGGTAGGTACTCAATTAAACATGTAAACTCTGTGGTCCCTGGTCTCTGTGGTCTGGGTGATTATGCTTTCGTTATATTTTGATGCGCAAGGGAGTCTGTTTCCCTGCTTGCCCTACCTACATACTTATCTATTCCACACAATATCTACCTGACCTTGTCCTCCCTAGGTACTTTGCCCCTTGACTCTCTGGAAAAAGTCCATGATCAATTAGGCAGTACTACTATCCTTAGCAGGGCCTCATCTCCGGCACCGACCTTGAGTCTTATTATACCTACCCCACCTGTACCTGGTGTCGCTTCTTGATATATCCCATCACGTCTTGACCTGCATACAGGCCCTTTGTCGTCCTTTCAAAGTGTGTGTACCTCTCTCAGTTTCTCTCTCTCTCTCTCTCTCCCCCCCTCCCCTCCAAACCCATCTTGCGAAATTACCGAATGTACTGGGCAATGGCCTCCTGAAGCTCAGGCGTAAGGCGCTGAGAAATGAAGCCCTCAATGGCGCCTCCGTGCCTCTGGTTGGCCCCGACCATGTACTCCTTGACCCAAACTGGCACGTTCTGCACCTCGGGGAAGTCATCTCGCGCAACAGGCTTGCACGTGTTGAGGGCCGTAAACGTCAAGCCGAACCCGATGTCGTCGGGAGAATTTTCGGTGATGATCTCATCTCCGACACCAGCCGCGACACTCGGGGGGTTCGCCAGCAAAGTAAGGAGGATCCTGCACGTGTTTGCCCAGCCCTTGGCAAACTTCTGGGCAAACACCTGAGAGTCGCAGAGGGTCTTGGTAAGAGACACCACAGCGGCCTTTCGGTCAACAGGTCTTGCCAGCTTGTCTGTCTCTTGCAGAATGAATGGAGGATACACCTGAGCAAAGACCTTCTCGTCTACCTTGTCAGAGTGCTTGACAAAGTAATCCGTTCCATAACCGGCCTCCAGCTTTCCGCCAACGAGGTGGAAGAACCGAACAAAGCGGATCTTGAAGGAATCGGCGGGAGATCCCTGCAGCTTTGTGAAGATGAGCGTAAGAATGGTGTCGAAGTAAGGATCAAGAGCCGATCTACCGAGACAGAAATTAGTATACGAAGCGTAAAAGGTCCGTTCGTGGTTCGACTCACGGCTCGAATGAGTTGACAATCGCCTCCAGAACGTCAAACGCGTAGAGCTCAGACTTCTTTCCACTCAACAGCCGCTGGAAAATACCCAGTATGGCCTCTAGCTGGTTCTCCGCAACAATGGTCTTGGAGACCCTGGGAATCAGCGAAGACAGCAGCCGCGTGCAGGCGGGAATGTTGCCTCTGGTCTCCCACAGGGACGGTTGCAGCAGGGGGCCAAGAAGCGCGGCGTAGTTGTCCGAGACGGCATCGGCTGGGCTGGACTCGAGGAGTTGCGCCAAGATCTGGAAGATATACGGGATGAATTCTGTGCAATGCTGCTGTTAGCAAGAAAGAGGGAAAGGGCCACCGTTACACATCGTCGTTCACAAGAAGAGCTTACCGGTAACGTCATCGACCAAGATCTGATGCGCAGGCTCCCAAAGCTTCTGGTTGATTGCAGCTGCATGGGTTGCTGCGCAGTACCGCACAAGAGCGCCCAGGGCCTCAAAGTGGTAGTAGTAGAATCGAGGATTGCTTGGGTTGGCCTTCATGACGTTTGTGATAAGGATCAGATGCGTCAGAATGGTGTCGAGCCAAGGGCCGGCTCCGTCCTTGATGACGATGAGAATCCTCATTACGCATCGCATCAAGAACTCGTTCTCCTGCAGCTTCGGCGCGCTGGTATCACTCTCTATCAGCTTGAACAAGTGAGTGAGCAGATCCTTTGCAAAGGGTTCTATGTCTGCACGAGAAAACATGGGCGTGCCGGCATCATCCGTCAGGTACAGCACACGCTCTACAGCAATGGCTGCATAGGTATAAACAACGTAGTTGGATGAGTTAAGGTTCTGAATCAGGGGACCAATGGCCACCTTCCACTGCTCCTTGGACAGCTGGCTGCGGAATGTGTAGAGAAACTTGATGGCGTCCACCTTGGAGATGGGTTCGATGCCCTCCCCGTTCACCAAATCGGACGCAATGTGGCGTTCGAAGAAATCGACCACATTGACAAGTGGGTTGACGGTCTTGACGCCCTGCGCCTGGGTGACTGCACCCTTGGCGGCAATCGAGAGGAACAGGTAGATGGCGGTGTCCTTGGCCTTCCAGTCCGACTTTGGCTGCGTGAGATAGTGGTTGATGTACCGCGAGACAGAAGTGGTGACGGGGCCCTCGAACTTCTCCTGTAGGCTGCGGAGGAAGTCGGTAGCCGACCTGCGTCGAGAGCCCGAGTCGGATCCCTCGAGGTCACGGCGAATGTATTCGATCGGCTCATCCTCGAACATTTCAATGTCGGACTCTCGGAGAGCAACATTGGGCAGGATGACCTTTTCGACAATCTCGGTGAGGACGCTCTCGCTGTTGAAGAGCTCCGAGTGCTCTCGGGTGGCCGCGACTGCCGCCAAGAAGTGCAATGACTTGCTCACAAGGTTGTCATACTTGGTCTCGGGGCCAATGGACGACACCAGGCTCCAGGTGCTTGTGATGAAGGGCTTGCAGTATTGCGAAAAGTCGGCATCGTACTTGAAGGTATAGAGCTCGAGGAAGTCGCAAATGTCGGCCTTGACAGTGTCAACGACGCTGACTTCGGTGTCATCGTCGGTGTCCAGGATGGGATTCGAGTAGTTTAGGTATTTGTGAAGCAACTCGGAGATGCTAGCAAGGTTGTCTTCGAAGATGGGCGGCAGGTCGTGGCAAGACAAGTCGAACATAATCTTCAGCTGCAAGCTGAGCGTCTCGAACCAGCCGTGGAGCAGAGCCTTGTCTGAACCATGCTCGGAGATTTTGCTATCGGTGGTCTACCATCATGCGCGCCCCTAGGATCAGCATCGAGACTCAAGGGTTAGGGGGGTAAAGTGAGGGAAGTGGTGCTTTGCTTACCGCCAACAGCTGGAAGAACGGAGTGCCGAATGTGTTGATGACATGGTTGATCTCTGTATACAGGGCAGCGGTTCCCATCAACGGCCTCCAGCGCACAAAGATGGAATGGGCCACCTCCAGCACACCAATGTTGACCTTGGGATCGGTGGCAGAGAAGCGGCTGACAAGATCCTAGTAATCACGCCGTCAGTACCGGGCCAAGCTGGCAAACCCAGAGGGTGGCGGTTCGTAGTTACCTGGGTGAGAGTCTCCCAACGCTCCCAGAAATCTGAGTCGGCAATGATGCTGACAGCTTCACCCAGCTGGCTCTGAATGTTGGGAGGAGAAGCAATCATCAGCCCGATGAGGCGCTCCTTAATCGTCTGGACCTCGTCCAGCGGAATCTTGTAGTTTCCATCCGCGTCCTGTGTGCGCCAGCTTTAGCATCTCGACGGTAGTGGTCGTTCGGAAACGGGTCGTCGCGGGCAATATCGGCGGCGCGGCACGGCGCGGCATCAAGACTTACCACATAGTTGAGTCGGATGAAGTTCTTGAAGGCCAAGGCAGCACTTAGTCGGGTGTTGGCGGGGATGGAATCAGAGCTGACGATGGTGAGCAGAGTCAGAGAGTATTGCGGCTTGGTGGCCTCCTGCTTGAGGGCAGCCTCGGCTGGAGTTGTCCGCGGCACCGGTCAGCACAAGTGACTCTCAACAGACGCGTCCTGTGGCCTCTGTGTCCGGCCGCACGCGTGCGGAGGAGGCGGGCAGTGGAGGAGAAGCGGCATACCTTGGCGATGCTGGGCAGGATCGAGAGTCGCCTGGAGCAGCTGCGCAATGTGGCCAACATCGGCCGCCATGGTGAGTTGTTTCGCGTTGGATACGAGGGGAGGGTTTGTGGGGACAAATAGCAGAGAACGGCGGAGGAGGCACGAATGAGGACGGGGGAGGGCAGGTTCAAGGTGGGCGAAGATGGTGATGTTTTGTTTCTTGTGCTGCGACAACCAGACTTTTTCTGGGAGGTTGCCTCGTTGCTGGCTAGCGGACCTGGCAAGGCTCTGGTGGGGGAGAGAGCTTTCCAATGTCACTCGCCCTGCTTCCTCCAGCTTCTGGGACGGCGGGGTTGCGGGTGCCTGTGTGTACAGGTAGCGGGCAGGCGCAGTTTGTGTGGCAAGGTACAAGGAGGCCTGAAATACGCGTATCCTATGAACGTAAGGCGACAAGACAGCTACGGTCTACCTACAGGTACCTACAGGTACCTTAGCATTAGCTGTAGCTGCCTTTTCACGATCAGCCGCAACACGGGTTGGATGAGTGAATGGTAGGAACAGTCAGTAAATCATTTTGGATAATACCCAGGTAGTTAGAATAACATCTGCTGCGTAGGCAAAGTGTCTCTAGCACCTATAACACATAGGTAGGTATTTATTAAGTTGACGTAACGCTTATCAGAAGAAATCGCGTCCAGGCAGAAGTTCTGTTTGTACCAAGCCGGTGCTTGTCTTGCATCACTTCAAGGTTGTCGTGCCTCGTTACTGGGTACCTAGTAGTAGTAGGTACCTACAAGTTACCGTACCTCATCAGCTCTCCATGATTGCCATCAAGGCCCTCGATACCAATATCGATATTGCGGGTAGCTGCCGTCGAATCGAAACACACCTGCAGCAGGTACCACGCAGGTAATGATGCACTGCCAAGGCTTTGGGGCCGGCTTATGATATTGGCAGTGCGATCTCAGCCCGCAACGTATCTAGGTACTTTGCTGCAATGAATCAAAGCCAACCGACCCCTTTCAGCCTTGAGGCCTCTTGAGCAGATTCAATACGCTGTAGTACTAGGTACTAGTCTAGGTAGGTAGGTAGCGATAGCAGTTGTCGTGGGCTCAACCGCCGGGCAGTGGCGCTTTTTAGGCGCTCCGGCTCGGGTCTGTATGTACCGTAGGTAGGTACTGTAGGTACCTACTACCTAGTAGCTTCAATAAGCTCAGCAATGACGGAGGGAGCCAAGGCTCAACGAGAAAGTAGTAGTAGGTACTTGGTACTTGTACCTGTCACAGCAGCAGACCCAGCGGCCGAGGTCCATGCGCTGAGACAAAGTCAAGGGCACATGGGAGGAGGCAGAGGGACAAAAAGAGGAAGGGAAAAAAAAAAAAAAAAAAAAAAAAAGGTTGGAAAAAAGTCAAAAGATGCCTTACCTAAGGCCTCCTGAGCAAATGAGACGCCATCCTCCCTCCGTCATGCTGCATTCAGGACGACCTGCTCTACTCCAATAGATTCCGCTGCCTGCACCTCGACAAAAAAAAACAAACCACCAAACCCTGCAAATCCCTGGTCTTCTCCTCGTCCTCGCCAGCAACGACCACGGCTCCTCACCAGATGCGCCGCTGCTCAGTGTCCACCCCGACCTCGACTCTCCAGCCGATGACCGATCCGGGCGTCCTTGACCACAGCTGATAGCGGCTCCTCTTGGTGTGCCTATCAATCCAACCACAGCACGGCTTCCTCTCCCTGCGTCGCCTGCGAGACTTTGCCTGCAAACCGCCTGTGCAATTTTCTGCACTGTCCCACCACCCTCAACCCTTTTCTGCCGTCGAATCTGGTCTTTCCGCACTCGTGCTGCCGTCGCCGACGTGATCCTGGGCTTCTCTCCGCACTTCCACACGTCCCTTGATGTCCAGTCTCGTGTCCAGTCCCGGATACATGGTCCTTGAGGAGTGAGTTGGCTCTTTGGTCTGATCATCTGCAAGCGCGGCTACCCACCATATCTTCTTTCGGTTGCGTGACCACCTCCAGCCTCTGCTATCTGCCGGCGGCGACCCCCAGCAGAGCGCTTGTCTGGTCGCCTGTGTTTTTCTTCTTTCATATTCACCTGCTGCTTCATCGCTGCTTCGCCCCGATCGCCAGCTCGTGCTTACATGCGAGTCATAGTTCCTCTTCCCACCCAAAGTCCAGACCTCACAAGACGAGCACATGTCCCCGCAGCCTGGAGATGATGTTTCGTCGCCGGACTCCCTACGCCCCAGCGGCATCGCCAGCGTTTTCCGGGGTCTGACCGGCTCCAAGTCGTCGACCAAGTCTCCGCCGCCGCTCTCGTCGTCGGCCGCGGCGCTCCCGAGGACCGACTTCATCCATGCCACACCCATCAGCTCTCGCGGTCTGTCCGCGAACCACATGGACGCCTTCGAGCAGTTGAAGAATGGCAGCCCAGCCGAGCGGATCGCCGCAGCCAATACTCTCAAGTTCGCCATCACCGAATATCCGCTGAATCCTGTCCTGGACATATGGTACGCCGCCAAGGACCTCATCGAACCAAGCAAGCCGACGGCGATGCGGCAGGCCGGCTGGGAGTTGTTGACGGAGTGTGTCAAGCATTCCTCGTCGACAGACCTGGAGCGAAAGGAATACTTCCAGACGATAGCCGCGCCGGCCAATCCTGAAGACTTCCATCTGCAGCTTGCTGCGCTGGTGGACCTCACTCATCGAGGCCGCATACTCGCCGGGTTTGACTATGAGCTGCTTCCCCTGCTCACAAAGTGGCTTCAAGAAGCTTACAATGCCGCCCGTGCCGCCCGGAAGGCTTCGCAGGCCACTCGTGGGCAGAGGACGTCCAAGAACAAGGCTGCAGCAACCGGAGAGGATCAGAACTTTGCGCAGCTGTTTGCCTTCATTATGGATGTCATCAAGTTTAACTTCAACACTGCGGATCAAAACTCCATTACAGGCTTGATTGATCGTCTGCTCGGCATCTGCATGAGCACCAGCGTTGAGGAGGATCTGCGTTCTTGTATATCCGCCATCGATGCCATCGTGACCTTTGGCTCTGTTCCTACGAGCAGACTGAAGAGCACCATCCAGGTTCTCAGTTCCATCTTTTGTCTGGTTCATAGCCTCCACAAAGAGTCGTGGCACACCCTGGCGAACCTCTGCAAGTCGCACAACGGCCAAGCGGCAGTCCGGATCCTGCTCGATGTCCTGCGCAACCCGTCCCTGGACGAAGTCAGCAACAAGGATATGGGCCGTGATATCAGGGGCGCGCTTGCTGTTTTACAAAAGCTGCTCTCCAAGACGACCGAAAAGGGCTATCCCACTGTGCCGTATGCCCTTCTCGTAGACGGCTTAGCAAACACCCTCAAGATCTCAAACTCGCCCAGAATTTATCACGCGATTCTCCAACTCATCAACTCGTTGTTCAACGACGGAAACGGGCAGCTACATCGCCTGGTACTTGACGAGGACTGGTCAGTTCCGCTAGATACGGCTGCGGAATGTTATCGCAGGATACAAGAGAATCCTGATCCGACAACGGGCGCCCGGGCGAGGGACGATTCCATGGATGACAACATCAAACACGAGCTGCAGCTGCTCATCGCTCGGCTAGACCAACTGGTGACCCAAAAGTCGGGCGATTTCGTTCCTCGACAGACCGTCGTCAAGTTCTTCACCGATGTGCACCGACTCCTTCCCGATAACACGGCACGTACCGTGCTCGACTACTTCCAAGAGTTTCGATGCTGCTCCCCATCAGATCTTCGGTGGGAAGAGAACCTGACTCTGGTGCTCGATGGGTTTTTCAGGAACCGTAGCCGCTCCTCAGAGACGCGACTACGTGCCCTGCAGACGATGATGGATGCTTACGAGATCGTTGACTTGGTGGGCGACGGAGATGAGCAGGACTTTATTCCTCGCCTTGCCAAGAGCATCCTCCAGGACGTCACCGAGGAAGTCGACGTCCTGGTCTTGGACGCCATCATCTCGTTCATGACCTCGGTAGTCGTTGCATGTGATATAGACCTCTTTGACTTTGTTATCAACGCTTTGCGAGTAATAGTGGTCAGCGACAGTCTGAGATCGCCCATTGCATCGCACACGTCGCCGCTCGTGCTCTCGATTCCACCAGTCGGCAGTGCAGAGTCCACCGAGCCAGCATCAATAGAGCAGTCGCCCTCCAACGTCGTCACGAGGGGATACGTCCGCATGTTCATGCGACTCATGAACTTCCACAACGACAAAAGCGTAAAGCTCTTCAATGTGCTCGTCAGCATCGCGAAGTTGGATCATTGCGAAGTAGATGCTCGGCTGACGGCAATGAAGCTGCTCTTCAGGCTCCGTGCTGACTGGGCGGATCGTGTCTTCATCACCAACAACCTGGATGCCATGTCTACCGCCACCACTCTGCTTCGCACAGAGGGCTCGCTCGCGAAGAAGCAGGCTGAAGAAGTCGCGAATACGGCTCGTCTGTCCAGAGGGGATATTGGCTTGCAGTCTCGCACGTCAACACGCGGAGCGTCTATTGGTCAGAGCCGGGCTGGACAGCGGCAGGGCTATATGTGGAAATACCCCGACCCGAACGCACTGCCCGACGCTATTCCGTCCATGATTAGCCCGGTCCTCAGATCCCACCTCCACAAGGAGGACGAAGCGGAAGGGGAGGGGCAGACGGCCGAGATGGCACAATACCAGCCTTGTGCTCTCGATCTTTCGGCATGGCTGGACACGGTACTGAGTATGCTTCAAGGATGCGATTGGGAGATTTACAGCTTCGTCTTGGTGCATCTGCCGTCGCAGCTGAGCAACCATGCCATCTTTAGGGATGCCATACCGCAGATACAGGAGCTTCGCAGGGTGATCTGCGAACAGATTCGGCTCAACAGCTTTCAGGAGCCTCCCAATGCCTTGGGCCTCCGCCGAGCTGACATTGCGATTTGCCTGTATCACAGCTTGACCATGATTCTCAGCTACCACGAGCACTTCCAAAAGGCCGAGGAAGATGAGATCGTGAAGATGTTTGTTCATGGAATATCGACTTGGGAGAGAGCCGCCAAATGTTGTATACACGCCCTGTCGATATGTTGCCATGAGCTGCCTCTGTCAACAAGCAGGTCTCTGATTCAGATGCTCAACCAGATGGCGGCCATCATCACGCAGCCGTTTGTTTCAGTCCATATCCTGGAGTTCCTTGCTTGCTTGAGTCGACTGCATAATGTGTATGTCAACTTCCGGGAGGATGAGTTTAGGATTGTCTTCGCCATCTGCTTCCGATATCTGGAATATGCCAAAGACAAGAGACAGGTCCAGCGTAGCGCTCTGTCGAGCGAGCTACCAACTCCTGTTGCTTCATCAGTACAGTCTCCATCAGAACTGTCCCAGCCTCCGACGGATGATCTACCGCAATATGTCCACGCCCTGGCCTACCATGTCATCTTGTTCTGGTTCCTGGCGCTCAAGTTGCCTGATCGCGCCAACCATGTTAGCTGGATCGTCAAGAAGCTATTTGCGGACGCTGATGGCCTCCATCAGGGCCCAGACGACCACGCCGTTACATCAATCGACTTCATGCAGAGGGTCACCTATGCCGACGTCGACGAGTCAGCCGAAGATCCATACTTCACGGAGGACCGCTTTGGTGACATAGCGGTGAAGCGATGGCTGGTTGGCAATAGCATTGTCACCGTCAAACAGGCCACGGTATCCGGATGGGCGCAGATCATCAAGAGACAACCCTCAGGCACTTCGGCATACACGGTCCGCGAGTCGTATCGGCCTCCTCCTCCTCATCAGGTGGAGAACCATGTCGACATTTCGAGAGAGGGCCAACCCACGTCCAACCTGATTCTTCCCAGTCATCTGCTGGTACAACTCATGTCTCCTATTCCGCAGACGCACGACTCCGCGCGGCCCATTCCCTTGCCAGACGATGAAGCTACTGGCAGGACCATCAGGGTCTTTGATCGCCTGTCCAGCCTGGACGGACACAAGGTCGGTGTCATTTACATTGGCGAAGGTCAAACCGAAGAGGCAGAGATCTTGGCGAACGTATCGGGGAGCAGCGACTACATTGAATTTCTCAACAACCTTGGGACTTTGACCAAGCTCAAGGGGGCAACCTTCAACACGCAGGGCCTGGACCGCGAACATGACACCGATGGACAGTATACGTTCTGCTGGAGAGACAGGGTGACTGAGATTGTCTTCCACGTCACAACGCAAATGCCGACGAATCTTGAACGGGACCCGCACTGCATTGCCAAGAAGAGACACATTGGCAATGACTTTGTCAACATCATCTTCAATGACTCTGGCCTCCCATTCAAGTTCGACACTTTCCCAAGCCAGTTCAACTGCGTCAACATTGTCATAACGCCCGCGTCACCGGCTTCGTTCCTGGCCACCAGAGAGGCAAACCCCGAGCAAGCGCACAAGAAGAAGTTCTACACGGTACAGGTGATGAGCAAGCCGGGCTTCCCTGCAATCTCGCCCGCGTCTGACACCAAAATGGTCTCGCTCACGGCTCTGCCCGCCTTCATCCGGCTTCTCGCCCTGAATGCGTCCGTGTTCGCCCATGTGTGGCACAACCGCGAGGGCGGCGAGCACATCAGCTCCTGGAGCGGTCGTCTTCGCGAGATTAAGCGGCTGCGAGAGAAGCACGGCCCGAAAGCTGGTTCTGTGTCACTGGCTTCACCCCCAACGCTTCTCACTACTGCCACACCGGTCCAGTCGCCGCCATTGCAGCCATTCCAAGACTTGGCTCAGCCGGGGGGAGTAAGCAGCGTCCGAGATAGTTTCAACAGCTTGCGCAGGACGAGCGTGGCCACATTCTTCACCAACACGAGCGAGCAGACGTCTCACCGATCGTCGATATTGTCGACGGCGCCGACGAATGACACCGAAGTTGGGATGAATGGGCTGGACTCGCTTGTCGAGGCGGTTGACTTTTCCAAATGGGGATGAATGAGGTTCGATCTCGAAATACAAACCACACACAAAGGGGGGAAATAACAACAGAAGAAGAACCGGCCAACGAAATTGAGAAACTTTGTCACAATATAGAAACAGCAAAAAGAGAACCCCCAAAAAAAGGTACAAGAGGGAATATGGCTGGGCTACATTTGTCTGTTACAAAAGGCGCGAGCCATCATGTACTCGTATAAGCTTCTTTTTCTTTTTCTTTTTCTTCTTTCTTCTCCCCTCTCTTTCTTTTCCATTTCAGTTTGTCTCATTTCTTGCTTCCTCAAACATGGTAAGCGGACTTTTGATCTTTCATGGAACGTTCTTGTACTTTTCTTTTTGGGTCTGGGGCAGCAGAGAGGGCGGGCGTTGATATCCTTATATGTGAAGAGAATGGCAGCCTAAGAGAGCAAGGAGGAAATCTATCTGGGTCAAAAAGTTGTTTGCGTCTTCCTCTTTTCTTTTCCTCTTTCGTTTCATGTTGCTGCTGTTTTTTCTCGTTCGGCTTTCGTCTGTTGTCGGTAGTTTCTAACTTGACAACTGTCGTTGATATATACCGTACGCAAAGATACAATATACACCAATATACCCCATACTTGACTCTTTATCACACTCTCGCAAGGGGGTTTCCTTGTATTCAAGGCTTCACATAGGCAGGTATGCAGCATTTCGACGGGCTTCATTGATAAAACTGTAGTAGAATGTTGGTCCATCTTATCCTACACCGATACTCAGCAGGTGGGCCATTGGATCCATTTGCCCCTATTCTTTGCTCCCAGAGGATATGCAAAGCACCTTCATATCTCCTCTATTCCAAAAAGAAACCCATCTCGACAAGCGAGATAGTAGTAGTAGTAGCAGCAGCAGCAGCAGGAGTAGTAGTACGTAATGAACCATCGTAACTACTACAGATCAAGGCCCCCTACTGCGATGAATCGCGCCAAACGGGTCTATATTCCGCCCACTTTTGAAAGCCTGCCATATACAAGCCGGTGTTAGCATGAAATATGCGAAGCTCAAGATGCAATGCACCGTCGTTCTTGGTCTGTCCTCCGAAACTCACCTAGCGATACAAGCACCTGGTGACCGTAGGAAACTCCGTCTACGAACATGCCGGTCATTCCCCTGCTGCTCAGCGTCTGGTAGCATGCGTACAGCAAACAAGCCATGATTGTTTCTCGCGAGCCGCCTTGGTCTATATGGTTACTCATCGATGATCAGTAACAGTACGCATTATAGAACTCTGATGGCTCCGTTCGGAATTGCAAGAGCGAAAGGGGTAAGAACATGGGAGATAATTGGAAGGGGGCAGGGAGCTAACCATTAATACAAATACACGTTACTCCTCCAACATTGCTGTTCAAGGATTCCGGCCACGGAATGTCGGTCGCTGCTGGACTTTGCTGGCCAGGGACAAAAGTGATGGCCGTTGCTACTATTGTAGCATGGTCAAAGGCAACGATGATGTCGCTTCTATATTCACTGTCCAGAGTCCGAGCGTACTGGTCGTACCAGCCGAAGCCGTGGCTGGTTGTTGCAGGAGGGCGATTCTCAAGATCCAACACATCGTGCGCATCCCCCTCGTGGCACAGTCGAAATCCCAGACCAGAATAGGGTATGAGGGCGCCTGTCAAGTCCGTAAAGCGAAGAAGCCAGTCACTGACAAGGCCGCCCTGGCCCCCATGCTCCAGGGCGTTGACTGGCCAGCCTTTCCTCGCGAACCACTGACCTGCATCAGCCATGTCAGCGGTCAGACCACAGAATAGTCGGGGAAACGTCGTTCCCAAGTGTAGCCTCTGCACGCCTCTGACCCCGTGGAGCCTGTTCATCGCGGCTTCGTGAAGGGAAGAACCAATTCCCTGGCCTCGGTATTCAGCTTGCACGATGATTGCCGCGATGGACCCTATGAGAGCAACGTCGGAGCTATCGGCAAAGGTGGCATAGGCTGCACAAAAGCCAACAAGTGACCCTCCCGCGGGCTCCCGCACAACGTAATGCAATGCGTAGCCATCTCTCTTCAGTAGAGACCCGAGAGCAGACGCGCTGAGATGAAACTGTCGGGGAAGACAAGCTTGCCAAAGAGCGCATGTTTCCGCCAGGTCTCGCTCGGCGATCCAGGGACTCACTGACCACGTAGGCTCAGCATCAGATGCACTGGGGGCGAGCGTGCCGGTATCTACAGACACTGTCGGCCTCGAACAGCCATCCAGGAGCAGGGCAGCTGCCACTAGGAGGTCAGAGTTTGTGAATCCAGTGATGTGCACCAATGTCCGGAACTGCGTGCTGGAGATATTTTGACCTGCCAAATTGCAGCATACCAAATTGATGAGTGGCCGTGATTCGCATGCTCGTGCGACAAGCTCAGAAAATCCCAATTGTAGCTGGCCGTCAGTGCCCGCCAGGTTGGTGATTACGAAGATCACAGCCCTTGCCCTCCTGATGAAGGCCACATGAACACCCGTAATCCCTTGATTCTTGGTATAAGGAACATGGTTTATGGGAATGTTTCGAGCCGAGAGAGTCTGTCCAAGTATCTCAAATGGATCCCTGTTATCTGTGGGATCGTTTCCCACAGGAGGTACCACGACAGGGGTCAAGAGAAGGACAGGCAGGTCTCTGGTGGGAATCTGATCGAGGGGGATGCAATGTTGGTAATCCCACATGACCGTGGCGACGGGCCTCTGTATTCCCTGTGGATATTCTGAGGGGTAAAGGCTGGATGTGTGTCCCGCAGGCCAGTATGCTCCGGTAGACATGATGTTTTTCCTATAGCATAGTGAACTTGGAGGCGGCGATGGGCGATCCTGGCGGTTCTACAGCTATCAAGAAAAGCTCTTGGGTGCCGTAGATGCGATTATGTAGAAAATCGCCTAGAAAATTGCGCCGAGCTGGGCTATAAATCAACAAATATGATAAAGCACCCGCCACTCTCGCGATGTGACGACGCTTGAAGGGTTTTTGACAGCTCCCCAGCCCCCGATTTGTTCATAAGAAGGCAACAATTCGCTGCCTCCCAGCCAAAGTACCTAGTCGACAAATGGTGACCAGAGCAGTCGTGCTGGATAGTGTTCGGTGTAAAGGTGATTACGTCCAACACTCCATCGCTAAGGCTTCTCATACAGTATCAGCTGAAAGAACTTGCACCGCTCAGCTCCATAACCACGGAGGGCAGCAATGTATGTAGCCTGCATTGTAACATAGCCTTAACAGTGTCTCGTCTGATTGGGCCAAGCAAGGATTTGGGGGACAATTCAAGGGGCTGCGAGAAGCTTCGCATGGCCGGGGAGGAGGACTAAGGATCAACTTCGTGTGGGGGTCCATAGGATTGGCTGTAGACATGATCAAACATTTTGGTAGCTGCAAGGCGTGGAAGGCAAACAAATGCCCGGCCCACCCTTGACCAAGATATCTGACCACGGGGAGTCAGAGGAGATGGGGGCTAGCTCGGGGAAGGCTGCCGAAGGATGAAATCCCTCAAGCCGGGCAGTCAGCCGCTTTGCTGGCACTAAGCCGAGCAATGATGGTCTCCCTAGACCGCAACATACTGTAGAGGTCGAATTGAGTTGTGGCGAAGGTACGAGATGCTCTGCATACCCTGACCAATAAGCAGACGCCCTTGACGCCTTTGTCCAAGGAGGGCGACCATGGTAGGATTGGGCCAAAAGATACTGCCCTCTCAGCAGGGGTAGGGAGGTGTCTTCCACTGCCGTAGAGTGTCTGCTTCGTGGGGTGCGTACGTGTATGCATGTCGACAAGAGGAGTACGAGTAGAGTGGTGGGATGCCAGACAACGCGAATGCAAGCACAGGCGGTGACTGAGATTGTCTGCATGTTGCCACTTGGGTGAGAAGTCTGCAATGGATCGGTGCGATGGGAGAAAGAGTACATACGAGTGGCAAGCACCTTGTCTCAATATATTGAGAGCAAACAGAAGAGATTTCGTTTGAATGCTGTTGATACTCTGCTGACATGGTCTGCATCCACCTGTATGCAGCTCTATATGCGGCCAACAAATTGCCCAACAGTCACTAAGCGGCCACCGGGAGTCTTCCCTCAAGGGGACAAGGCCATATAATGTGCGCGGGACCAATTTGAGGCACAGCAGTAATATCTTCCCCGGTTGAACACGATGCCCGGCTGCGGCGCAGACAGCCCCGGTTGGCAGGCAGGTGAGGCTTTTGCCATGATCAGCCCGCCAGTCCCGTCGGATGTAGCCATACAGGGCAAATGTGACGGTTGAAAAGGTCTCTGATCAGCATATAGGCCAGTAGATGGCAGAGTCCACATGTGATTCGACTCAGACAGTCGTATGGAAGAGCAATGGCGAGTTCATATCGGGCCTAGCGCTGGCCCAATATGCCGGAATGATGGGGCCGGCAGACGGGGAAAGGCGGGAGATGTCAAGGATCGACAGAAGCCGAGAGTCGCTGAGCTTTGTAGCGCGCTTCCGTTCTAGCACATGTTGCGCAGAGGTCATCGGTCGAGTCAGCGGTAGGGGTTGAGGCGAAAGGCGGAGAGTCAGGGTGGTGTCGAGAGGATGGGATGAAGGGAGTTGAGAGAGTGGGCTGTGAGAATCTCTGCTTGGAGTTTTGAGGATTGTATTGAGGCACAAAATAGAAGAGGTAGGTATCTATGGTGGGTGTGCCTTCCTAGGCATGGAGAGCACCTTCCGGGTACAAATGGTATAACGACTTTTACTACCTGAGCAGGAGCAACCATCTGGACACTTTTCTCCCGATATAGTAAAGATGGCAAGAGCGTGATGATGAAGGCGCACCCTAGGTAGTAGCCAGCTTGCTCAAAGATGTCCGATTGCCCCTGAATTTACACCTGATAGGCAGTACTGCATTGATACCACGCTTGCAACATGCCAGTCACATGGTTGGCGAACAATTGAAGTCGACACACAAAGCTGGAGCCCTTGAGCAGCCTGCAGATGGTCAAGAGTAGCAGTTGGGCATTAAGGCATATCCTCTCTTTTGCGAGTACGAAGCATGAATTTAGGCACTGAAATCTGCAGGTGATTGCCACCCAGTTGAGAGGACATTTACAAGGAATAACTGCAGAACCGGGCGGTACCTGCAGTAGCCTAATGATGAACCTTATAGCCCAATGTGGCGCCAGCAGGTCCAGAATTCCAGCAACCTGCACTGCTTGCTTGGCTTCCGACAAGCTCTTTCACACATCTCACAGATGACAACATGCAAGTCGCCCATTCTGTCATGTCTTTCATATTCAACACTTGCCACGGGGAGCGATGCTAGCATGCTTTGACCTGGCGGCTTGTTGAACGATTCATAAAAGATGGCCTGTGCGAGATTCAAGCTCTGCACCCGGTACACAAGAAGACCTCGCGGCGCTTGAAGTTGTGCCGCCCAACAGCCGCCCACACGTATCGCGGCGTACCTACCTCGACCGTTAGCGCCCGTGCCTTAGTAAGGTAGGTATCTACCTAAGGTACCTAGGCTTATGAGCTCGACCTTAGCTACACTTCCAACATGAAGGAAGCTCTCGCACAACGTTCCTCAAGCTCCAATCCATCCACTTCACTCTCTCATCATCGCTGTCACTGCAATATCCCCTCCTAGGTCTCCAATTGGATTGATTGGGTCGTATCGAACCTCTCCAATAACTCAGAGGTACCACACTATTAGCTGGCTGGCGTGGGAGTCCCTCGCGCTAAGAAGCATCACCCCCACTGCCAGCAGCATCTGTCGGCAAAGAACCCAACGAGAGACTCGTCCAGACGACGCCATCACCAACTCTCACTGGCCATCAATCAGGCTCGACGCCCGGCAGCGGAGCGCATCAGACGTGGCAGCTGTCTTGTCACTGGACTGTGGAAAGCATCTCCACCAAGTACGACAATGACGGCGTGAAGTCTTGAAGCCGGCACCTGCAGCGCGCTCCTCTCGGCTTTGTTTTTCTTCTTCGACGACAGACGCGCCATCGCCGTGTTCTCAGTCCGACCGGCCCCTAATTAGTATACAGATACCTTTTCATTACACATATTGACACTTCATTGGCCACCTCTCCGGTGCATCGAATGCCGGCGATATGTCGCCTTCTGCAGCTGGGGAGATAGACGCACTCATCCAAGATGTGGCTGCAGGTGAGTGGCTCAAACCCTCCCACTCCTCGACTGTAGGCGCCCCCTTACTTACTCGTGCGCAAAAGCCTCCAAACTGCCAGCCAAATCTCGGGGGGCCAATATCAAGCCTACAGTAGCTAGCCTGGCATCCTTGGCCTACGAGAACGGCCTGCTCCCCACTGCGCTTGACCAGCTCGTGAGCCTGCTTGTTACGCCCAGTCACCTCGACCAGGCCAGTCTGAACGCTATAGCCAGAAACCTGTATCCCGTCGCCCGAGTATCACGCGATGTTGTCGTCCGTATCATCGGCGCTCTCGGCCATGGAACGCTCAAACCTTCGCTTACTATTCAGGTGGCCCTTCTGAAATGGCTCATCATGATCCACCACGTATTAGAGACCCCAGTTGTGCTTGCCCAGGCTTATGGCGTTCTCTTTAACTTGCTAGACACGGCGGCGATTAGACCAAATGTTTGCCATCTATTGGCGCTGATCACACGGAGAAAACACGTGAAGCCGTTTAGAATTCAAGCTCTGTGAGTGCCCCGTCCCCAGTTGCTCTTCTACGAGTCTGGCAACTCATTTCACTTACAGATTGACGCTGTCACGGCAAACGGCAAATGATCCGTATCTGATTGGCCTTTTGAGAGTCTTCAAAGATTACTATCCTGAAATCATCTTGGGAGAATTAGTTCGTGGCAAGGCTTCGGCATTCAAGGTGAGAAGATTATATGTATTGAAATGAGAAGCCTATGGGTATTGACATGGCTCTAGCATCCGGATGCAGCCTGGAAAGAGAGGCTTCAGGATATCCAAGAGGCATATGCCTTGCAAGCGGAGGAGAACACACGTGGAGCCCTCGATGGGTTTCAAGTCAATCGTGCCAGGGGGCGTGGCCAAGGAAAACGTGTCGTGCCATCAGTACACACGTCTCATGTCGCCGAGGTAATGTGGTTATTCTTCAGCAGCTGGCTTACTTTTAGGCTAATGCTCTTGCCAGAACGCGGTCACGCTGGAAGAAATTGAGAACGTCACCAGCTTTGTCCAGAAAATGGACAGGATAGAGATGCCAAATCAGCTCGTGGCTGTTCTTGCAGACCCCTTACTCCAGAAACTCTTGCTTTTGCGTCCCAGCGCAGAAGCTTACCAGCGGATAGCCAACTGGCTGAGCTCGGTCTTGCAAAACGTCCTCGAGGGGGATGCCGACAAGGCCACGCTATGGGAGGTCTTGGACGTCGTGCGGGAGTTTGTCGTGCAGAGTAAAGTGAGTTGGAGTCAAAGACCACCATGTATCTGTCAGTTGACTAACTTGTACGGTCGGTGCAGTCTGTACCCCACGTTTTCCTCAAATTCTTTGCACATTTTTTCCAGCAGTGGAACGGGTCCGGCCAGCGTGGTCATATCTTACAGATCTTGTCATATGCCCCCTTCATGGACTTCCAAGGCAAGTATTGGCTCTCTTCTCGAATCCGAGGCTGCTCTTTGGGGGAGGACTAACCGTCTATAAGAGCTCTATGAGCACATGATCCAGCCACTGGAAGCAGCTGTTCTAGATAATACACCCGGCTCTCAAGTTGACGTATTAACGCTGTACACTCGGCTTCTGCACCATTGGATTGCCATATTACAGTCCAGCGATGCAATTCCGGCACATGCAAACACGAGTCTGAGGGCGCTGATACGGCACACCGGGCAGCTCAGCCTCACTCTTCTACAGACGTCGCCTACGGAGTCTGTGGACATGGCCATTCTTGAATTTTACGAGCAGGCCACCCGCCTTGTCAACGACGAAAGGCTGAAGGACTACATAGGCATTGAACTGCCGCCCTCTGAACTCATTTACATCTTCCTGTTCAGTGGCTCCGTAACCACCGTGTCCCGCCTGTGCGACATTTTGGCGTGCTACAAGAAGGGCTTTGAGATGGCCATGTCAACCAAGGCGAGGAACGATGGCTCCAATAGGATTGATGCCCTCTCCTATGACCGAGCCTACGTCAATCTATACAACGGCTATCTCATGGACATTTGCAACTGTTTCTGGAGAAGCCGAGCGTTTAGCGATGCGGACACCAACTCGCACGGCTGCATGATGCCGCGGCCTGCAGTCTCCAAGCTGACGTCGTATGTGATGTCGGTGGACAAGACGTTCTCCCTTGCTTCACTGTTTTCATTGTCGTACTCACCGGTGCTCTGCCTCCAGAGCATCCAGTCGGTGCGAGACCTCGAGGACGCAGCTATTGCGAGCGACAGCTCCATTCGAACAAGGCATGCCGGGCCCGTGACGCAGACCAGCCTCACAAAACTGGCTACTTCGGGGGGCATACAGCTCTCGTGGCAAGAGTACCGCATCGAGGTGCTGAGATCACTTGCTGAAAAGAACCTTGGCGGGATTGCCGAGCTGTTGAAGAACACAATGACAGTACTCAAGAAGTCAATGGACGCAACACCGCGAGCACGGGCCAAGATGCTTCACGCTCTGTGACGGCGCGGGGGGGGTGGGGCTAAGGAATGATGTTATTGCAACTTATGGCGACTTTGTATACCGAGTCCAGTTGAAGCGGACCAGCGGCCTATATCCCATCGGTTGAAGTTCAGGGTATCATGAGAAGAAACAGAAGAAAGAAACAGAAAGGAAAGAAACCAAAAAGACCTTCTGCGTACCACGTGTCCACCAGGATACCATCTATGAGTGTTAAAAAGAGCAAATGAGACCGAAAGCGGTGCTGTGAAGGCAGAGTTGAGGTCTGCTCGTCCACCCGAAAAGCCAACGCCAATGCACCGTTGAATGCTGTGCTACCCGACCGTCTGTGATGTGAACTATCCTATCCGTCATATGCGTCGATTGCTTGAGCCGTTGAAGGCGTCTGTGCCAAGGAGAAATCCCGGGTCCCGCCACCGCCGCTGCCCGAGCGAGTGAATGAAACGAGGCGAGTGGAATGAGATTGAAGGATGAAAGAGGGCTGACTGAACAAAGGGCGGCCTGGCACGCGCTTTTAATTCTCCCTTTGCTTGGACTCATCACCATAGCCGCCAATCTTGATGCCGCCGAAGCCATACGTCTTGCCCTCGGGGGCAATGTTGGCCTGGCTCCTGGGGCCTCTCGCCTTGAGGTCGTCCCTCAGCCAGCCCATGACGAGCTCTCCGAGGCGGCTGTTGCCCGTGGGGCCGACGGTGGCGTCAATGGAGCGCAGCATGTTGTCGGCCGTGTCCCACTCCTTGACGGTGCCGAGATGCATGTGGACGAGGTGGGTGGGCCAGCCGGCGAGGTTGTCGAGGATGTGGGTGGCGTAGACGATGGTGCACTCGCGGGTCTCGGTCTCGCGCTTGAGCCAGGCGAGGAACTGGAAGCGGCTGAGGACGTCGAGGTCGACGGTGATTTCGTCGAGGAAGAGGACGGTCCAGGGCCGCAGGAGGCCCATGGCCAGCTGGACCCTGCGGCGCTCGCCGTCGGACACGGCGTGCATGCGCCAGTTGGTGTCGATGTCGAGCATGTGGACGAGCTCGTCGCGGCGGGCGGGATAGGCGTCGCCGCCGACGGAGCGCAGCAGCTCCATGACGCCAATGTCGTTGCGGACGATGGGGTTGAGCACCCACTCGAGGCCGAGGTAGGTGACGCCCTCGAGCCCTTCCTTGAAGGGGTCGACGCCGCAGATGGAGATTGCGTCGCCGGGGGCCAGGCGCTTGCCGGCGAGCAGGCGGAGGAGCGTCGTCTTGCCGGCGCCGTTGGCCCCGATGAGGAGGGTGCGGGAGCGGGGGGGCAGGTCGAGGGAGATGTTGCGGACGCCGGTCGAGAAGTCGGGGAATGTGTAGGAGAGGTTCTTGACGATGATTTGGGGAGGGGCTTGTTTAGGGGACATTTTGACGGTGGTTGTTGTTGTTGTTGTTGTGATGAGTTTCGGGGGGTGGGATGGAGGAGGAGGAGGCGATGAGATGAGATGAGTTGTGTGTGAAAGTCTTGTGATGGGGTTATGTGCTGAGAGATTGAATCTACATCAGGTGGAGGTGAAGGGAAGTGAGTGAGTGAGTGAGAGGGCAAGCCGACTTCTCTTTATAAGGTTAAGTTCTAGAGGCTCTTTCACACTGGGGCGTCAATGTCTCATTGCAGCATCACGGGCCCCGCCGTCGGAGTTTTCTAGCGTTGAAAGCAGAGAGAAATCCGGCATTCCCTCGGCCCTTGAAGCTTGTTGGGTTTTCATTGTCACTTGGTGGCCTTACGTAGAGCTTTTGTGACTTTGATGCCTAATATTTCTTGGGGGTTCTCGTACTGTAATAAGAGGAAGATGAACTTAAACATCCTGCGAGGCGACTCAAGTTTCTGCTGTTAATAGGCCGGAGTCCGGAATCCGGAGTTTGCCGGCTGTCCAACGACTTCATTACGAGTGTACCTACAGTGGCAGCACTTCTGCCTCGTATAACTTAGTAGGTACTACCTACAGGTAGCATTTGGTTGTTAAGCTCCAGCGGGCATCTAGAGCCCATGATCGGGGTGTAATGGGGCACTTTTAACGGCCAGAGACGGCATCAAGTACACACAGGTACTTTTTGTATCAGTCTCTGCTGGTTGGTGCGAGACTGATCATGTTAGGTAGTACCTAGGTAGGTAGCGGGAGACTAGCAGGTACTGACCTACCTACCTAGGTTCCTGCTGCCCTTGGCTCCTCCCCCCCGAGGCTGAGGCGCGTCTGAACGCGGGGCAGAACGAAAAGAATTCCGGTGCTGTAAGACACAGAGAGCATCGGCGCGTCAAGCTCGCAACCACCGTGAAAGTCCTTTTTTTTTCTATACCTTTAATGTCTTGACTTGCCCGTCAAACTCAATCTGTTCGACCAAGACCCTCACCGAACCAATCACCAAAAAAACCGTCTCTACATCTGACGAATAGACACAATTCTGCGGCCAGACACCAGATTACTCCCGTAGAGACACACTCCTCTCCAAGGCTGCACCAAGCTCGGCCGCAGCAGCGCCAAAACCGCCGTCATGGTCAAGCTCGAGGACATCTCCAGCCTCCTCGAGGCGCCCGCGTACGACCGACTTCTCCCCCTCTCTCTCTTCGAACATCTCTTTGCCTACCTGCCATAGCGTCTCCAGTCCTTGTCTCTAACTCATATCCAAAGGCATCTCCCGCACAAACCCCCCGTCCGAGCCCCCTCCGCCTACAAGCCGCTGCACTCGTACGCCCTCGACAAGAACCGCTCGTACAAGCAGCAGTACGGCGACATGTACTTCCTGCGGCTGGCCAAGATCAAGCCCGCCGTGGAAGAGGTCGCCGCCAAGGCGTGGCAGGACACGCAGATTGGCGGCGAGCGGGCCAAGAGGGTCGACCGCGTGCTGGATGTGCGGCAGGGCGAGCTGTGCTGGGTTGCGGGCACCGTCTACATGGACATGAAGCTGAAGCCCAACATTCTCGAGGATGTGTCCAAGGATGTGAGTCCCTGCTGATACCCCCCCTGTGCCTCCTTGGATGTGGCTCTCCCAACGTCCGATTGACACCTCTGGCAGCGCTGGCTGTCGGCGCCCATCTCCTCGCAAAAGTACTACTCCGACGACGGCTCCGACCAGACCATGCTCGAGGACGACTCGGGCCGCGTCCGCCTGGTGGGCGACCTGCTCAGCACCATCCCCCTCGTCACGGGGTGCATCATCGCCGTCATGGGCACCGAGAACACACACGGAGAGTTTGAGGTCATCGACATCAAGGTGCCCGATCTGGCTCCCCAGCCCGAGCGCTGGGCCCTCTCCAAGGCGCCCTCGGCCGGCGGCAAGGCAAAGAGCGAGGATACAGAAATGACAGACTCCCCCTCGGAGGGCGGCGGCAAGAAGATTGCCATTGTGTCGGGCCTGTCCTTTTCCGGCACCGACGCCTCGTACGACCTCGAGCTGAATCTCCTGCTCGAGTACTTGCTGGGGGAGGCCCTCGGCCCAGGGGAGCAGGCCGGCGTCTCGCAGATCAGCAGGCTCATCATCGCCGGCGACTCCATCTCAATGACAGCCGCCAAGGATACCGACGACGACGACGACGAGGTCAAGAAGAGGGCGCAGAAGAAGTACGGCTACGACGCCAGCGCGTACAACCCCATCCCGTCCCAGCTTTTTGACGAGTTCCTCTCCGAGCTGCTGCCTTCCATCCCTGTCACCCTCCTCCCCGGTGCCCAGGACCCTGCCAACGCGAGCTATCCACAGCAGCCCATCCACACGGCCATGTTCCCCATCTCAAGAGCCTACGCAGCAGATGCCGCAGCGGCATCCGCGTCGCAGCCCGGCTGGTTCGACACCGTGACGAATCCCTGGGAGGCGGAAGTGGAAGGGTGGAGAGTACTAGGCACGGGCGGGCAGAACGTCGACGACGTGTTCAAGTATGTTGAGAGCGACGACCGCTTGGGCATGATGGAGGCCATGTGCAGATGGAGATGCTGCGCTCCGACAGCGCCCGATACGCTATGTATGTCCGTTTTTATTTTCTCTCATCACTTGCGTTGTAGCCCTCCTTGAGCTATGCTGACGAAGAATTACGCAGGGAGCTACCCGTTTCAAGAAGACGATCCGTTTGTCCTCAAATCGTGCCCGCACGTCTACTTCGTCGGCTGCCAGCCCGAGTTTGCAACAAAGGTGATTCACGGGCCCGACGGCCAAAGCGTGCGACTCATTGCCGTGCCGTCGTTTTCGAAGAGCAAGGAGTTTGTGTTGGTGGATACGGAGACGCTGGAGGTGAGCAAAGTCCGGATCACATCAAGGTGACATTGCGAGTTGGCCGAAAGGGGAGGGTATGTGGTTTCAGGCGAGGAGATATAGACAGACATGTGGCTCGGTTGCAAAAGAGAAACTAGAAGGGATAATAGACGGCCTTGGATGGGCTTTGTGCTGGCCCCTGTGCTTGCACCTCCCTGAGGTGATGGGGGGAAGATGTAACTTTTGAGATACCTGCTAGAAATAACAAGAACATATCGGGATGGTCATCATCAAGTATCAACGAGTTTGGCGGAAATGTGCCGCCTAGATGTCAAATAATTCTTCGCTCATCTCGTGTATAAGAAGCTGATATTCGCGTCCGTTTGCTTTGTGATTCATATACCCTTCATGAGACGCCATCTCGTCGGCCATGACGCTCCGAAGGTCTCTTGTGGCGTGAACATGCCCTCCCCGTCGTCCTATTTCCCTTGAGCTTCCAAAGTTGATGCTGCCGTGAAGCAACTCGTGAAGCCGAGCCAGTTCGTCTCTCTTGCTTTGAACACACAAAATCTTGCATTGGTTCTGCTCCGTCGAGACAATGCTAGCCATTCAACAAAATCACGTCCAACCCCCCCCCCCCCTTCCCCCCCCTCCCCCCAAAAAAGTCCCCATTCATGCTTCTCCTCGCTTCTAGCCCACGATTAGCCCTCATCACCAGCATCAACAAAACAAAACACCATCTCCCCCCCCCCCCCTCCAAACTCCTACCTTATCATCCCCGTCTAACAACTGTTTCTCTCTCTCTCTCTCGCAAGAGCCTTTCCTTCTTCCTTATTTCACTTCTTCCCCTTGCTCTTCTTCGCACCACCGCCGCCGCCAGCCCCCGCAGCAGCAGCAGCAGCAGCCTCCTTCTCCGCCCTGATCCCATCGACAAAGTCCTTCATAATGTCGTGCAGGTCCGGATTCTTCCTCGCCAGCAGCAGCACGTCGTCTGTTGTGACTGTCGTTCTGCCGGCGTGGTTGCAGAACGTCTCGAGGTCAATCGCTACGCTCTCTGCACCGACAACCCATGTGTAAGCTCTCTCTTTCTCTTTTTATCATATCTCCCCGCTTTCTAGGCAAATACAATCTTTTTCGTATGCAACGCTTTACAAACGTTGGTGGTAATAATAATGATGATGGTGGTGGTTATCCATGAGACGGGATAGATGACATGACATACCAATCTGCGCCCAGACCATCTCCGTCAAGGCCCCGATAAACTGCGGCGTCGCATTGCGATTCCGCTTGAGCGACTCTTCGTCCACGATTTGTCCTATCGCGTACCAAAGTGCCGATTTGAGACGCTATACACACACGCACGCACACACAGATTTGCGTTTAGGTATCAGCATTCATTCATTCATCAGTCTTTAGATTGAGTTCCCGAGAAAGTCGGTGATCTTGTGAGTACATCCTTACTTCGCGGTCATTTTCAGGTGTCGTGTCGGCCATCTGTTTGTCTGCTGAAGACGTCTTCTGATGGATATCGTGAGTTGGACTTGTTATTTACCTACTAGGTAGGTATGGAGGGTCGAGGTGAGTGATTGTATGAGGGGCCGGATATTGATCCCTCGAATACATAAGTACCTAGGTACCTAGAGCGCGTTGCGGGACGGCTTACGCTAGTACTTATTAGGCAGTAAAGCTGATTGCTCTTACAACAGCGTTAACTGATGCAACTTCATCGCAAGCACTTTATAAAGTGCCCGAGTACCTTGAGATCTTGTTCAATCCTTGATAGGTATTCATTCATCCTTGCTACATCTTTCCAATGCTGCATCTTAACCTACACTCGCCATTAACCCAATTGGTCCCATATAGACATGTAAATCCCTTCGGCGCCGCCTTTATATATCTACAAGCATACAACATCATCCCCCTCGTCACCAGCTTGTTCTATCAGAATCAAGGAGATGAAAACCCTCATTCATCCTCCTCTGTAAGCTCTTCGGGCTTCTTGGTGTACAGTGAGAGGCGGTTGCCCGCGCCACAGTACTCAAGCTCGTTGCCGCTGCACAGCATGTTGCAGTCCGCCGCCGGCGCCTTGAGAGACGAGGGCGCCAGAGTGTTGCCACAGTAGCATTCGCTGCCGTACTCGGTGCCAAAGTACGTAAAGTCGGCACAAAACTCAGCGCATGCCTCAACAGTCATGGTGCCTGTTGCGGTGGCAGCGCCCGTCAGGGCGCGGGTGCCGTTGCCCTCAGTCTGGCAGCCGACAAACACAAAGTCGCCGGCGGCAGCGGGCTGCTCAGGGTTTCCACCAGTGACGTTGGGGTTGATGTAGAGCTCGAGACGGTTGCTGGCACCGCAGTACTCAAACTCGTTGCCGGCGCAGGGCATGTTGCAGTCGGCCAGGGGGGCGGTTGCACTCGAGCCAGCAAGGAAACTACCACAGTAGCACTCGTCGCCGTACTCCGTGCCAAAGTACCTAAAGTCGGAGCAGAACTCGGCACAGGCCTCGTTGGTCATGTCAGGGTCAATGGTAGCCTTCTGGCCCAGGGCGCGATCGCCTGAGCCTTCCGTCCAGCAGCCCACCAGTGTGTATGGGCCGACAGTGGGCTCGTGGGTCAGGGTGCCAGTGGGAGTGGGAGGCTGGGTGACTGTGGTCGAGTACAGCTCGAGCCGGTTGCCAGCACCACAGTACTCGCTGGCATCACCAGCGCAGACCATGTTGCACTCATCAAGGGGAGCCTCTCCGCTGCTCTTGGCAAGGGTGTTGCCACAGTAGCCTATAGGTGTTTTGTTAGCGCGAGGAAGTCTCCGGGGGTCGAGGTCAACAAGACAAGATTGAATACTCACATTCGCGGCCATACTCTGTGCCCCAGTAGACATAGTTGCTGCAAAAGTCTCTGCAGGTCTCCAGAGTCATCGAGTCGTTTGCATAGGCGTTGCCAGCCAGAGCACGCACACCGTCACCCTCGGTCCAGCAAGAAACCAGGACATATCCGTCGACTGCAGGGCGGTGACTGGGAACAGGAGGTGGCGTCGTCGTCGTCGTCGCAGGCTCTGTGGTCGTGGGAGGCTCCGTGACAGGAGGAGAAGTAACAGGGGGGTCAGTGACAGGACCAGTAGTGACAGGAGGCTCCGTAGTAGTAGGGAGAGCCTCGGTCGTGGTTGGAACGCTTGTGACGGCCGTTGTGCCGCCGGATCCCTCATCCTCTCCGCCAACGCAGGCAGCTGGGTTCGCAAAGGCACGGCAGGTACCGCCAACGCTGGTCAGGGCCTTGAAGCTGTCGGACTGGTCACCATTGATGACGTCGACGTATCCCTCGTACGCCAGGCCACCTTCGATGGTGTAGTCGACGTTGAACAGAGTGTACGGTCCGGCGCACTGCCCCTTCTTGAGGTCGAGGGTCGTGCTCTGCAGCAAAGGAACGGGGCTGTTTGTCTGGGGCGTCTTGTACCAGACCTTGACTTGCGCGCCCTGGCTGAGACGGTCGTTGCGGACAGCAGCCACGGCAGTCAAAGCACCCGAGGAGCCGAGGACACAGCTTTGGGGAGACTGGAAGATGATGGCATCCTGGACAGGATACTCGTTGCCATTGTTGTCGTAGATGTCCTTGGTGCCGTCAGCATTGTTGATAGTCACGGTGAAGGACGAGATCCCCGAGGAGGCGAGGATGTTGGCCGAGATGGGGTAGAAGGCAAAGGTATCGTCAAAGCCCTGGCTGGCGCCCTGAACAGTGCTGGTGACGACACAGGTGCTCAGGCCGCAGTCAGTGGTGCCCCTGCGGTTCTTGTAGGTGATGGACACGCTGGATATGCTGCCCTGGGCGAGGCCGGTGGTCTTGACGCGGATGAAGCCCGTCAGCTGGAGGGTGCTGCCGCCGTTGATCAGGGTCAGCTGCAGGTTGACAGGCTTGACCTTGTAGGGGACGATGGGGTCGGTCAACTTGACGCTCGGGGGCACGACGTCAATCATCTTTTGCAGGACAGTCTTGCAGACGGACTTGAAGGTCTCTGCATCAGCCAGGGCCTCCATGGTCTGGTTGCCGTCGGCGTTGAAGACCTTGAAGTCGGAGTTCTTGTCAATCTTGATCGACGGGCCTACGACAAGCGGGTTCTTGGTCTCGCCGGAGAGATACTCGGTGACAACGAGGTTGTCAAAGACGGCATCGCTCGTGTCGAGACCCGATTCCCCGTCGAGGCCAGTTCCGGCGGGCACAATGTCGGGGAACTCGGTGTTGTGGACGCCGCCCAGAGTGTGGCCACAGGCCGTGACCTGGATCATCTCCTCGACGCTGAAGCCCATGCGGTCGAACTGCTGCTTGAACGTGGCGACGGAGTTTTGCGGCTGGGGGACACCTGGCGCTCCCTTGCCGGTGGCATCGATACGGCCGACGCGAATCGGCACGGCAGGGCCACCGCAGGAGCGGACAGACGTGTAGACGCCGAGGGCGATGAGGTCGGCCAGGGTCGACCGAGGAGAGACATAGGGGGCCATGAACTCGAGCGTCGTCCTGTGGCCGGGCCCGGTATTCTCGCCATTGTCCAGCTCGTACTGCAGCGAGCCATCGAGACCTCCAATGCCAAAGTACGTGTTGGCCGTGGACATGTCGTGGAAGCCGACCCGGAGCCACTCGGCGGCGTTCTGGCGGCCGGGCCCGGAGGCTTCGTTGGAGCACGGGCTCACCGTGTCGGCGAATTTGCGGGCGCGGAACGACTGGAGTTGGGTCATGATCTCCTCGATCTCGTCAATGGCATTGGGCCATGTCGGATCAGCCAGGGCCGAGCTCGTCAGGCTCAGGAGGCCCACCAGGGCAGCTGTCGACTTCATGATGGAACAGACTGAGGAAGCCCGTCACCGCTCGGGCAACTGGTGAAAAAGAAAGCGGCGCAAAGACAGAGGATCCGTCGCAATGGCAGCTCAGTGGGTCGCTGCGATGGTGTTGCGATCTTCGTCTTGATCTGTCTTGAGAAACACAGGCGCACAAACGAGCGAGCGTGGATGGCCTCAACTTTTGGCGAAACGAGCGGGCAGGCTCATGGCCTTTTAAGACGGAGGGATGGAGTCTGTGTTCACAGAAAGTGAGAAAGAGGAAGAAAGAGGAGCGAAAGAGCCGGAAAAAGAGATAGAGATAGAGACAGAGGCAGAACAGATTCCTTCGCCTGAGGGTGGTCGAGGCTTGCAGCTGCATCGCGCCAGAAAGTCGTGCGATGGAGGCTGCAGCTGCAGCTCTGGTTCGCCGTCCATGGCCTTTGCAGTCGTCGACAGACTTGTGCTTGCTGCAACACAACCAGCAGAACCCTTGTCTTCAGCCCGGAGTGGCGGGAATCAGACGCTCGATTGGAGAGATGCGTTGCTGCAAGGATGGAGTTTGTCCAGGTCGTTCTCGTATTTTTGGCAGCCGACCTGCATTAGCCCACCTGTCCAGGGACTTCAGGCACTCTCAGGCCCCAAGGCCAAGACCTCCAGGGCCTTTTGGGGGCTTCTTGAGCCCGTTTAGTGGATGGAACACGGCGGCCGTCGCTTATCACAGCGCAGCACCTCTGGAGGGAACAGGCGATAACATAATCCACCCTCCGGCTCGCAGATGCCGTGGCCCAGTCTTCTGGCTGCTACAACCTCGTAATAAAGCGCTCAATAGCAATCACTTTTGTCTCCTCTCACCAACGACCTCAACAACACTGAAGCCAGACTGCTGGCTGGATCCCTGCGGGCTGAACGCCCGGATGACGAACCCGCCGCTCACGCTTCCCCACCTCCATCATCCCCTTGTCTGCTGGCCCGCAGCGGCATGTGGCATGGATGGGCTCCGTACAGGTCGCAATATTGGTTTTGCAGGCAGCGTCAATAGTGGCCGACATGCTCGATTCGGGCCAGCTGAAAGACTGCGCTGATGCCCCGGATGTTGTTTGATGCTTCAATGTTCCATCTTGTCGAAGAGCGGCCGGCTTGGCAGCGTAGACGCGGTCAACGAGCAGACAAAGGGTCCCAAGGAATCCACTCACACATTGCTCTTGGACAGGACCTGTACTGACAAGCAGAAAGCAGTTACTAGCAGTCAGCGCTCCCTCCATCGCCATCCCACTTCTGGACCCGCTGGACTGCCTTCGCAACACAAGCGGCCGTCGACGTGGAAGGGCGGCAACCATTTGCTTGCCAGCATCCGACGTCTGTCTTGGCGTTATTACCACAGCTTCCCGGTGAGGGTCTCATGAGGCGCCGGCTATCACCAGATCGGCATAGTAGCCACTGCTCACCAGGGGCAGCGTGATCGATACTCTCGGCAGCCAGCCGTAGCGCAAACCTTGGGGCCTAGGACGGGCTGCTAGCATGTGCGATTTGCAGGGCATCACCCGCGACGATTCGTGCGACGAGGTCATTTCACATGGGCTGTGCCGCAAGCCACCAAGAAGAGGATCCAAGGTGACACACTGGGGATACGAGAGTTCAACTGACGACTAGCCTTGGGGAGATGGGGGACACAACCCGCAAATCACCTGGCTGCTCTGACGAAGTCTAGGCTCTCGTTCCCGTCACCTCTGCGAAATAACGGTAGCATGGGCCTCGGCGAAAACTCTTGCGTTCATCTTCCATCCATGGGACGAAAACGAGGCAACGGAAGAACAAAACGTCTTCCACATCGAGTCAAATATCGTCTTCGGCGCATATGCAAGGGATCGTGGGCAGCAATATGCCCGCGTGTGGTTGCCACGAGTGCAGATTGTTGCTGCAGGTTGTCAATACTGCTACCACGAACAGGGTCCTTCCTTTTGCCTCTGTACTTGTTCAATCTCCATCCATGGCAAACTCAGAGGCTGACTCTTGGCTCTTGGGGGGCAACTGGCCAATGAGCTGCTGTCTTTATCAATTCCACGCAAACCAGTCGCGAACATCCGCACAAGGATAGATGCTGCCTGTCTCGTTTATTCTGTCACCTCCAAGAGAACTATATGGCTCCACCACGCAGAAAGCAACCTCACTGTGCACTCGAGACACTTTGAGCAACAAAGCAACGGATCGTACTGCATATGAGTTTCTCTTGAAATCGTCTTTCTCCTTCTTCATCCCGGGCTTGAGCGATTTGGGAGTCTATGTATATCAGAAGGCCTTCAAAAGAGCCGCCTGAGAGAGGTTCAAGCTCCACCATGCACAACGGGTGTAAGTGAGCACCTGGGAAACACCACAATTTTCTTCCAGGTCCTGTTTGCCTGCATCGGAGCAGGTGCAGAGCCGCAGCCCGCCCACACCCTCCTCGCTTCTCGTGGGCAGCCGCTTGACAGATCCTAGTCCCTCACGGATCCTCGCCACAGCAACTGGCCATACTTGCGTCTAGCTTGCACCGTCTTGGCTACCACAATGCAGTTTCGCACATCCACAATGCAACGTCTGTGATGGGCCTGGCCATGACCTGCAGCTTGGCTATCTCTCAACAATACGAGGGAAGAGGCCGAGAACCAACGGCCCAGCCCTTCACCGCATATTCAGTATCACAGCTCTGAGTTCAGCAATCCCAGACTGCGTAGTGTCTTTCCTCGGCCAGATAACCTGCCGAAATGCCGGTCCCTTCCTCCGCATGCAACCGTAAGGGTACTCTCTCGATCAGCCTCACGGTGTGGGGTGGCACTTCCATGGTTCGCCGAACATATTATTTCCCGAACGAAGACCTAGCACTCAAAAGGCACGCTTTGCACTAAATTAAGAGTGACCATCTAGCCACTGCTTGAGTCTCTTTTGAGCCTTTGACTTTACCCGAGAGTAACACGCCAAGAACATCTTCCTCGTCCAGCTGGAGTCGAAGAACGAAAAAGAAGGGAAAGCCATGCCACGGAGGATTCCGGACGCCATGGTGGCATTGGTCGATGCTACCAGCAACGGGACAGACGCCTTCAGCCATGTCTAAATTTACATTTTGCTCTTCTGTTGTCCGGCTTGCTAATTTCCATGTCTCGCGGGGCCATGCTGCGAACCGTCCCTTGCCATGGGAACAGTCTAGACTCATCGTCTACACCATGACCGTTCCGTAATGTTCCAGGCCTATCAGCTCGTTTGAGCAGAAGCCAAGCTTGAAACATATTGCTCCAATATCTCGTACGATATATTGGATCCTCCACATACGACAAACACAACCACACTGTTCTTGTTGAGGCCGGGAACCAGCTCCTTCAAGCGGCCGCTGTACACGACGGCAAGGCAGACGCTGCAGGATAGTTCAACCAGGAAATGCTCCTCGCTAGCGAACCGCTTGCAGGCAGCAATGGCCTCGGCATCGGAGAAGACCACGGTGGACACTTGGTCGCGGAGCCCGTACTCAAAGGCCCTCTGGCAGACGGTTCTTGCGCCAAGAGTGGTGGCAAGGCTGGTGATGGCGGGCAGCGTGATGAGCTCGCCCGCTTGAACCGCCTGATGAAGTGAGTCTGTTCCTAACGTTTCGACAGCAATGACTCGAGTCTGCTTCATGGACAGATCGTCGAGGCCCTGCATGATACCTGACAAGAGGCCGCCTCCGCCGACGCTGCAGACGATGGCGTCGACGTTGGCTATGCGCGCCGTGGCATCGTCGTCCGATGCGCCGTCAACGGAGACCGGATAGTGCTTGACCATTGTGGGAATCTGCCGTGCAATTTCGTGCGAAATGCCCGCGTTGCCGTCCCAAATCTCCTGTGCGTTGAAGGGAGGCACGTAGATGGCCACGCCTCCTTTGGCACGGGCTTCCTCCATCAGAGTGCCCGTCAGATAGTCGTCGGCCTCTTGCCACGAGAGGCCCTTTTGGATCACGTCCGCGGCACCGGCCTTTCGCAGCTTGTCGATGGTGTAAGCAGTCGTCGACAGCGGCACGACAATGGTGGCCTGGCAGCCCAGGGTGATGGCGGCATGAACACAAGCCAGCCCGGCGTTTCCTCCTGACGAGCAGTAGAAGTGGGCTTTGGCAGCGTCTGGCCCCTGTGCGGCGAGCTTGGCCATCATGTAGCTGCCTATGCCGCGAGACTTGAAGGACCCTGAGGGCTGGAGGTTTTCGAGCTTGAGGAAGACATTGCTGGTGGTTGTGAGTTGTAGGGCGGATTGTGGCGAGTTAGATGTGTGGGCTTACCAGCCGGCTAGCTCTGAGAGGCTGTTTGACTTGATGAGTGGTGTTTCGATGTAAGGGATCTTTGTGTTGGGTGTTGATCCCATTGTTGCTAATGAGTAAAGATTTGAGTGTGAGTCTGCAATAACAGCCGGGGGGGGTTATCGAGGAATGAGTACGCTGATGCACGCGGAATCAATCGGCAGCGTCCTGATATGAGGGCAATGAAGGCGTGAATGAATGAAGCAATGAATGAGCGTTAAGGCGACGTCTATGAACTCTTTGATGATATTTATACGGACTGAAGAATGGACGTTATATCGGGCAACGAGGCTTCGAAAGATTTCTTTACTACAGTTTAAAGTAGCACTAGTGAGGGGTTAGCACGTTGTTAATCTGACTCGGTCGGGCATTTTTGTCTTCGTTCTGACTGGCTGCCTGTGTCTTAGTACCTACTGCGTAAGTACAGTATATCCGCTTGGTGCCTTGTAGTACGTGTTTCTGTGTCAAAAACCGTTGCGCCCTGTTGTCTTACAGACATGTACTCGTGCGCCTTTGACACATAAGGTAAATACTACCCGATTGACAAGAAGCAGGCAGCAACATATTAGATTTTTTTCCCCCCCTCCACTTCGCTTAGGTTCTGCTCACAACCATCGCCTACCTACCTAAGACAACAGCATCAGTCAAGCCATCGACATTGCACTTCAGAGGTCTCAAGGGCGTGGCGTCTTTCTTGTTTTTACAGGGCCGGTTAGTGCCTGGCTACACCATACTGTAGTCCTCCGGCTGCATTGATGTCTCTGATTTTGACTCCCGCCCTGCGTGTAATTGATCGGCGATGCCTTTCTTTTTCTCTCTAGTGGCTGACGGGGAAACAGGCTGCATTGCTTTTTGTCTGTTCTTTTTATATTTTTTATTTTTTTTTTCAATTCTTTTTGCCCCTTGCAGGTTCCTGTCAGATCTTTAAAAAAAAAAATGCACGAACCCGTTTTGGTGGGACTGTGTCTCGTCTCATGCCTCTTTTTGTGGTTGTGCCCGGTTTCTCTCAGCCCTGTGTGTTCACTATTATTGAGACATTCTCGAACTATTCCCTATTTCAACGACAGAGCCTGGAGAGTCCAGATTGAGTCGATTGCTCTTCTCGATGAATGAAGCTATTACCCGAATCCGGTCAATTGAGTTTGCCGTGTCCCTCGGTCGGTTTTATCTTGAGTGAGGCGAAAATCGACAATGGTTTCCGTATGCTGCACAGCCACAGCTGGTTCCCAGCCCAGATTCAGCGTACCGATACTTCCGATTTGCCCTTCATCTCAGCACCCGTCCAAGTACCATTCAATCCCACCGTACCCAGACCGGCTGCCTCCAGCTAGCAAGTCAATCCCCCCTCGGCAGAGATCTCGACCCTTTCGAAGACATAAAAAACTCTTTCACCACTGACGTAGAGCATCCACTGCAAATGGCAAGCCACCTCCCCAACTCACCCAATCGCCATCTCAGCGCATCTCCAGCAGGCCCCACATCAAAGCACTTGAACAGCCCACTTGAGCTCCGCCTCAGCCACAGGCGCAGGCACGCAGTACGTCATCCAGTGACGAACCACAAGCCCGACTTGCCCCGCCACAAGCATGTGAGCCCCTCTATAGCCTTGGTAGTAGCAGATTCTCCATGGGCAAGCCACACTTTTTTTTCGTTGCGTTGAAGAAATCTGGAGACTGATCATCTGCTCGTCCTTCTTGTTCTGCTATAAACACCCCCCCAAATTCAGCTAATGAATTCATTGACTCGGGCATTTCTACTCGAGTGTTGATCTTCTTCTTTTTTTCCTGCTCTTTTTCGGTCCCGTTTGCGTCAGTTCAAACGGGGCTTTATTTATTCCGGGGTGATTCATCATACCGCTCTTCTGACGTTCTTCTTCCTCTTATCCTCCTCCACACTCTTTCTCTTACAACACCTGCAAAACACATCACCAACTCAAAACTCAACCAACTCAACACCTCTCCTCTATTCTGCCTTTTCCCATCCTTTACCTATCATATCCCATCCGGGCATCACATCAAACCGCATCAGAAAGAAACAACACCCATCATGGGCGCCCGAACAGGCTTCGGCCTCAAATTCGTCCAGTGGTTCGTCCGCGGTATCCAGTTCTGCTGCGCCGCCATCGTCCTCGCCATCTACTCCTACTTCCTCGCGACGCTGCACAACCACCGCCTGCCCATCGCCACCAGCCTGCGCGCCGTCGAGGGCATCTCCGGCGCCGGCGTCCTCTACACCCTGCTGGCCCTGCTGACGCTCTGCTGCCTCGCCGGCCACACCCTCGTCGCCTTCCTCGCCGTCGTGCTCGACGTCTGCTTCATCGGCGCCTTCATCTACGTGGCCATTGCCAACAAGAACGGCGCCGGCACATGCAACGGCGTGCTCGACACGCCCTTTGGAAAGGGTCAGTCGGATGCCACCGTCAAGGCGCACAGCGGCTTCACCACGCTGCCTAGCTTCCACACTGCGTGCAGGCTGCAGACGGCCTGTCTCGCCGTTTCCATCATCATAATGTAAGCTCAACCCTAATATCGATCTTAAGTCATCCAGATCTCATGGAAAAAACTAACACTCTTTCCGTTCCCAGCTTCTTCTTCCTCCTCTCCATCCTCATGGAATTCGCCCTCGCGCGCCACCACCGCAAGGAGAAGCGCTACGGCCCCAGCCCCCAGAACGACTACACGTCGGGCTTCGGCCGCCGCACCAGCACCAAGAACACGGGCTTCTTCGGCCGCATCCTCGGCGGGCGCAAGGTCGTCGATGCCAGCGAAGAGGGCAACATGCTGCCCCAGCACCCGCAGCCCGACCAGCTGAACCACCCCCACGCGGACAGCAACGAGATGTCGGCGAACCCTTACGTCCACACCGACTACAGCAACAAGTACGAGTCTGGGTACGGTTACTCGGGCGTCACGGGGCCAAATGGCACTGCTACGACGACGACGACGACCAACACTGCGTATGCTGGCGCCGGTGGGTATGCGGCTCCGCAGGGCACGGCTGGATATGGTCAGCCGGTCAACTACCGCTACGACGACGGCATCTACGACCATGCTCAGCATTAAAAGACGAGGCCATTCGAGCTATTCAATCATCTTATCTCCAGGGATGTAGCCACGGAACGCCTAAACGTGAGAAACGAAATACCCCCCCAACAAAACAACAAAACATTATGTACGAGTGAATGTATATTACAAGTGAGCATTCGAGGAAGAAGAACAGGATCGCCCTTCTGGTATTCCATGAGAGGAATAATCCGCCAAAGGGGGCTGTCAACTTATGAACGAAATATCAATCTCATGTACAGAGATAGGGGACAGGGTAGCAACCTACTCCATAAGAGTTTTGACTTGGTCTCAACTCGGCTTAATAGTAATAAATAACAGAATATCTATCTCTATGCTTTTATGATGTAGCAGCAAGCATCTCATGTGCCGTGTAGTCATAAAACCTTTGATATGTTCAGTCTCGTAGAGAAACCCAAATACGGTAGTGTAGTCTGCGCTCACACCCCCCCTTTACCATGCCTGTACACACAAACTCGATACAGTTTCTATCATTCGCTCAGTTGCCAGAAAAACAAAAATGTCAAAGAGAGACAGACAACAAAGGAGGTATTGCATGCAAAACGAAAATAGAAATTCACCCCCAAGTCGACTCCCCATGGTCCACCTCACTCATCGCATCGTCCCCGCCAACCATCAAATCGCTCCAGTTGAGATCCACCTTCTCCAGCTCCCTCGAGAAGAAATCCTGCTCCTCCCTCATGGCGATGCGAATGTCCGCCGCGATGCGCTCCGGGTACCGCCGCACGTTGAGCCAGTGCGTCAGGCTGCGCAGCGCCTGCTCCAGCGGCAGCGCAGAGTCCACCTCGGCGTCAATGTCGCTGCCCGCCAGCCACTCGTCGCGCAGCTCCGGCCGGCAGTGCAGGTACACGGCCGTGATGACGCGCATGTTGGACTGCCGCCACTTGCGCCCGCAGTACGGCACCTGGCCCTTGAAGAGCTTGAGCGTGTACAGCCGCAGCTCCGGCTGCGGCACCCGCAGCGACTTCTTGAGGATCGTCGACGACTTGTACTGCACCAGCAGCAGGTTGCGGTGCGCCTTGTTCTTGCAAATCTTCTGCATCACCCGCAGGTAGTTGATCAGCGAGAAGAAGTTGCGCCGCGAAAAGTCCGTGATGGGCTCCAGCGGCAGGTTGCTCAGGGGCACCCCCATCTCGTCCACCTCGGGCCGCATCCGGACGTCCTCTACGCCGTCGACGGCCACGTCCTCCATCTGGTCCACTTCCGGCTCTTCCGCCTCCCGCTGTCTCTTAATCGGCGGCGGTGCTGCGTCGTCCTCGCTGTCTTCTCCTTCTGGCTGCTGCCCGTTGTCGCCCTCGCCCTCGCCCTCGCCCTCGCCGTGCTCGCCTGTCTCGGCCGCGTCTCCTCCCTCATTGCCAGCCTCACTTTCGGTCTTATCCTTAAATCTAGATCGGATGTTGCAAAACTGGAAGAAGCTACAGTAGAGAGTTAGCAAAACAGGGACTATGGAATGCATCTCTCGGAATAAAGGGGATTGCGTCTATTACCTGTTCTCAACGTGGTCCATCTTGCTGTCGACCACTTGTTGAATGTCCTGATGGGCAAAGAGCTTGAGCACCAGGGGAAGATAGTTGGAGTCCAACAGCAGTTGGGTCAAGTACTCAAACTTGAGAACGTCTGAGACACACGACATGTCAGCTGAGACATCCACAACGAACGATACCTTGGGGCAACACTCACGCGAGACTCTGAGCCACTTCAGGAGAAGAAGGAGAATTGCGGTCATGGCCTTGGATGTAATCTCCCGTGTTCGAGTGGCGTCAATCTCCTCGGGAGACGGCTCTCCTTCTTGCTCCTGCTGGCCCTGTGCATTCATATCCATGCCCCTCTGCGACCCATAGCCATTAGCACCAGGGTTGCCGGCCCTGTTCGTCATTCCTGCCATCTGATTCTGCTGCTGGGCCACAATAGCCGTGACGTTAACAAGAATTGGGCGGAGCAAAACAATCACAATGGACTGAAGATGAGGCAAGGCATTGGCCTACGTGGTCGCATTAGCCTTGTGTATCACGGGAGGGGGCGGGCAGGAAGCAAAGGCGCAACTCACATAGAAACGTTCCACCGCGATAAGCCGCTGCTTGTCTCGTTCGCTCAGCCTCTCCGGCTGTGGACCAAAGTCAACCTCAGGGCCAGGGAATGACCGTTCTTTCTTCTTCTTCTCTTTCTTATCTTCGGCTTTCAGCTCGCGCAACACCTCCTTCTCCTCCAGCGTGAGCTCATTGAGGTCGAGATCCTCAATGTCGTCATTGTCATCTTCGTCTGCATCATCGTCAGCTTCCCAGCCGCGTTCAAACTTGAGGAATCGCTCTCGCTCTTCCCAAAGCTGACGAGTTGCCCGGGTCATCCTGACGCGCGAGGAGAAGATCTGCCCCGCCTCAAGAATCGAGGCGGGAATATCGCTGCCCTCCCATTTCCTAGACACCAGAGGATTGCCATATCCCGCTTCTCCCTTCCCGCCAGCGCTGTTACTGGTGGCATCGAGAGGAGGGTACATGAAGGGGAAATTCTGGTTGGTCTGGTAGTTTTGCTTCTTGCCTCCTTTCCCGCCGACGCCAGGAGACGGCGGCGGGGATGGCGCCGGAGTGGCGATGTGCACCGGCTGGTTGAGGATGGATGCGCCTCCCAGTTGTACGTTGGGGGGCTGGGGGATGATGCCGTTGGCAACAGTTCGGCTCGTCATATTAGGCAGAGGTGGAAGAAGCGACGCATTGTCGGCCTCTAGCGGTATCAATGGCTGCGGCGGAACATAGGCCGGGTATTTGGATGTGATTTCCTGGCGAAAGACGTGATAGTCCAGGGGAGATGCCGTGATGGTCTCTTTGCTCTTGTCGCCGCCTGTCAACTCGCTGGTGGCCTCCTTGACACGCTTGAGGTCTTCTGTTCCGCCAAAGACGAGGAGGATTGATTTCCAGAACAGCAAGAAGATCTATACGCCATCCGTCAAAAATGTGCTTCCAAGTATAAGAAAGCTATCCAAAGCGCTGCGAGTTCGCTCACCTGAGTATGAGGCATGGTATTTTGTTCATCCCATCGCAGCTTGGAAGTCGCCAGCATCATAAAGTCAACCAAGGAGGGATTCAGCTCCACTGTACGTCCAGGTTAGCATGTGCGTGTCCTCTCTTCGCTTGCTCCTCATCTCTTATTCAAGTAGCGTCTGGAACGGCTTCTGCGATACATACGTAGTGTTGCTTCCGTTGAGGCCATATCCTCGGGGTCGTTCAACGTCTCCTGCACCACAATGTACATGATGGTCAAAAGATTCATAAGTTCGTCCTGGGCATCCTGCGCATTGCCCTGTTGGATATCGCCAGACCTGTCCTCGCGTCAGATTCTCCTCTCAACGTTTCCAAGCTCTCGCACCGCTCGCACCGCGTGAAAGTCAAGAGGCCCATACCAGTGAATCTCAAAGACGTTCCTCAGCGCCTCCCAAACGACCGGTATCCCTCCCAGGGACGTCAAGCACGCCACGCCAGCCTTCATCGCCTGGAGCTGCGGGATGCTCGCAATGGACCGGCTGTTCTCGTCCGTCGCGTGCGGCATCGCCGTGTCGCCCCATCTACCCAAGACAAGGTACATAATCTTGCCAATCGAGTTCGCCCTCAAGGCCGCGTCGTTGCTCTGCACGCCGGCGATGGCGGCCTGCACGAACCGCGCCCTCGTGTCGTGGTCCGCGTCGTCCCAGCCGTGCTTGCCACCCGACTCGTGCTTCCAGTGCCACTCAAAGGCCTTTTGCGCCGCGTTAAGGCGCACCCACTGCCAGAACTGGTACACGAACCACTCGTCAATCTCCTCGGCGTGCGGGCCCATGTCCGAGTAGACAAAGTCGTATGCCGCAGGGTCGGCGGCGTTGACCCTGGCGACGATGTGCCGCAGCTGCATCAGCGACAGAGAGTCGGTGGGAGCATGCTGGGGGGCTTGCGACCGGACGCCAGCGTTGTTATAGCTGCTTGCCGAGGGCATCGTCGAGGGCCCGCCTTGTGGAGGATTCGCCTGCCGCTGCGACTGTTGAGAAGCGCCTCTGGACGTGGAAAGAGGCGGCAGCTGGGGAGCTGGCGATGGGTCGGCCGAGTCGTCAATCGCAGACTCGTCCTGGGGGTACTCGACAGCCTCGTCCGCTGCCTCGGGGGGCGCCTCGCTCGACGGCTCCGGGGCTGGTTTCGCTGAGGACCACAAGCTGCTCATCATGGGCGATGCGAGGTTGTGGAATCTCGATGCTCGTAGCAGTGGCACATTGCGGGGTGCCGCCGAATATTCTGCTTCAAGGGAGGGGCGTTGGTTAGGCCATGGAGGCTGCGCAAGATCACGGCTGCTCAAGTGAAGAATAGAGACAAAGAGGAATTGTGCGGATTAGACGAGATGTCGCGTGTCGACGCCGGTCATGTGCAGCTCCAGCAACTTCAATTTGGAGCTCTCGATGATCAGGAAAGGCAAGGCAAGGTGAGGCAAGGTCGCGGTGACTGGAGGGGTCCGTGGGAGCTCTCCCATTGGCTGTGCAGCTTCTCGTTCCCCTGAGGTACTAGTGCCGCCTTAAGATGCAGCGCAGGTACTTTGAGCTACCACTACCTAGGTACCTTGCGTAGACTTGATCATTCATCATGAACCTCAGATCTCATCTTGAGGCTGCAAGATTCTTAAAAGTGACCAATAACTTTAACCAAGATGATTCATCTTCTGATATGTACAATCTTCTTCTATATATACAACTCCCAACACGATCCTGATCCGCGGGGAAATGGCACTTCTCTCACTCCTCGTCCGAAGAACCCTCTCCCGATCCACCACCACCCTCACCATTCTCGCCCTTCTCCGCCTTCTTCTGCGCCCGCCTCCTCAGCTTCTTCAGCCGGTTCAGCCGCTTCTTCTTCTCCTTGATCTGCTCCTCCTTGTCCGCCATCTTCTTCTTCGCCTCCTCCTCCGCCTGCGCCTGCGCCCTTGCCTTTTTCCGCATCGCGATTCTGCTCTTCTTCCCCGGCCGCTTTCTCCTCGCCTGCTGCTCGCTTTCAACTTGCGCGCGATTTGCTACCTCTCCAGGGCGGGCCTTTCTTGTGACTTTAATGCTTGTGACCTTCCAGGGCATCTCAAGGCCCCAGTGCCGCACTTTGGACCGCGCAAGGACGTCTTCGCCGCTCACGGCTGCCACCTCATACTCGTGCCTCTTCTCGGGTGACACGTCTGTCGCCAAGTAATATGACAACGGCGGGCCCCTGAGGAGTTTTCCTTCAACTACCTTGTCGTAGTCCTCCAGAACGACTTTCGGCGCCGGGCCAGCCGTGCTAAAGAGCCGGAATGCATAGCCCTCTTCATCCTCGGCTTCGCCATCGTCGTCGTCGTCGTCGGGCGTAGAATCGTCAACTGGAGTGCCTGGCTCGCTTTCTGAATCCGAGCCGAGAGCTTCATTTGCTGATTTGCCATTTGTCTGTGGCGGTTCAAGCACAGGCAAGGCAGTTGGAGGCTGCGGTGGACGAAAGGCGCTCTCGTCTATGCCCAGTGACTTGGCGATTTGCGCATTGAGTCTTGCTTCCAGCTCGGCGTCTACTTCACTCTCGCTCCACGAGGACTCATCTGAAGCATGCAACTCCTCTCGGCGGACTCTACGCACCATGTTAGCTCTCCTCTGCGAGACTTATATATGAGATATCACATCGGATAAGTAGAGGGTACCGCATACCTCTTTGCATCGGGCACCTCAAACATGTTGGCTCTCGCGGCTCTGAGGTGAGATGAGACAATGAATCCTTTCCTCATCCAATGGCAGGCACCAACTGCCGTTTAAGTGAGATGAAATGTATATGTAGAGTTAAAGTAAATGCAAGAATCAGCGTCAAAGTAAGCCAAAAGAAATGGGTATATGGAATGGTATCGCGCTTCAGGAATTCGTGGAATCATGAAGTCGAGACGATTGCAAAGAAAACTGGATATTCAATTGTAGTTCAACAGCCGCTTATCTAATCGTCCCACACCACACAACGGCCAAGGTACTCAGTACCTACCGCGTCCATACAAGTTTGCCCTTTCCAAAAGTAGCTAGCACTTCCACTCAGGCACAACGGTAAAGGCTAGTAGTACCTACGCCTCTAATGTGCCTTAGGTAGTAGAACTGGCGACGATTTTCATTCTGTGCTCTTTTATACCGTTTCGAGCCGTCAACTTCCACATCACCATCATCTTTCAGATCCCAGTTGGTAGCCCGTAGAGTCACACTTCAACCGCCCCCAAAAAGCAGGCATAATACATACTCTCTCCAAGATAAACCTCAGCAATTGAACAGAGAAACTACGCTCCGAAATCACATTCATATCTGGGGCACCCCCCACGCTTGGACCCCAAACTCAGCCAGAAAAGCAACCCTCCAAGACCACAACAAACCACCCCATTCACAACTAATACTAGGTACTACTAGTAGATAAACTGGCAAACAAACAGAATTCCAAATTACCCGTAATACATCCTGCGCGTCCTTCCCCCCTCCCCCCCTTTTTCAAAATGACATACCTTACAGAGGTACCTACCTCTTTTCAAAGGTTGCCCATTAGGTATTAATCTATTTTCTGCACATTTATCCTCAGCCAATACCACGTCGCCGTCCAACCAAGATACCTACGACATAACAAGTCAAGGAAGAAAAAGGGGGGGCCGGCGGCAAAGGCCACGGGTTTTCCCACTTGACTTACATGCTGCACTGCTACACAACATGCCTACTACTATGTACATCGTGTATATCAACGGGCTTCCCTTGAGAGAGGTAGAGAAGAGGCGTGGCTGGTCGCGACACCTTTGCGTCGCATTTTCATGCCTTCATGCATCGTTAGACCATTTCATCTTAGACGTGCAGGAAAAAGGAGGAGGCATTGTAGATACGCAGAGGCCTTTTTCTTGCTTCTTTCTATTCCGATTCTGCTTCAATATACGGACCCCCCTTGACCTCTTCTTCTCGTCTATAGGTACCATTTGATATCTTATTCTGTCTTTCTATCTTTAGGGTTCTTGTTTTCCTTTTCCACTTTTGTTCCCTTCCCTCATTCTAGGTACTCAAGCGGCTAACATGTATGCTGATAAGCTGAGCGGCACGCCCAACTCACATCTGTCCCATGTCGTCGACAAAAGTCCCCTTCCTCAGGGCAAGGCTGCCGTTGCATGTACTTCTCGCAATCCTGCAGACCGTATCAATTCAGCCCCGGCCCGCCTCTCTTCCAATCGCAGCCTCACGTAAATGACTCTGGCCTAGGTAGTCACTCATCTCGCAGACAGAAACATCAAGTAGTCGTGTTGGGTATTGATACTATCATGGTATCTCAGCGTCACCTCACATCCAAGCCGCACTCTCATCGCCCTGGCCTCAATCATCATCAGACGTGACATTTACTCCATTCCATACCGGATGGAGGATCAAAACATTGTTTTTTTTTTTTGTCCGGCCCTCGATCCCATCACTCACCTAGCCAAAGTCCAAGTGTTTCAAGTCCAAGTGTTTCCCTTTTAGATACACACCGATGTAGTACACACACATATAGAGTCGTGCATGTGGGTATATGTTTGTGTATATACGTGTATGTATATGTATGTGTATCCCCCTTGGAAGAACCCCCCTCCTGGAATAAGTCTCCCAAAGGACGCGCCACAGACGCCGCAGTATCAAAGTGCCATTGTACACATGTCCCAAGTCATCGTCAGAAAATAAGAGAATGAGCAGAAAACAAGGATCCGCCATAGAATACAACCAAATACAAAAGAGAGAGAGAGAGCATTGAGAATTCAACTGCTTCAGCATAACACCTTTTCCTTGAGACACGGCAGCAAAGGAACCCTTAGTGTACGAGTCGCGTTCTGGGGTCGGCTCAAGTGATGTCGCAAGCCTTAATTACCATGCCAGGAGTAGTTGTGCATGGGTTCAAAAGGCGCCCGCGACTCGGTCTTGACTGAGGAGCCAGCTGCTGTCCCCGGCTTGTACGGCTCATGAGGAAATGGGTACGGTCGTGCGTCGGTGCTGGCGTAGGCTGTGCTCGAACTAGTTTCCCCAGCCGTCGTGGTAGACCATGCTTGTGACGGCGGGTAGTATTCCCTAGACGAGGCTGGAGCTTGCGTAGACGATCCGTATCGGTACTCGGGCGATTCGCTGCTGCTGATGGAATTGGCGCCGTGGACGGATTGCTGGCCACTCTGGCGTGGACTCTTGTTTGGTCGGCCGTTGTCGACATATCTGGGAACGCTCAGAGCGCTATCTGCATGACCGCCAACCGCTGGTGTGCTCGTGCTAGGTGGCAGCTGGGAGCCCGAAGCTGGCTGTTGCACGTAGGTGTACTGCCCGCGAGCCGATGACGATTGCTCACTTGCCCCCATCGAAAGAGGCAGCGGTGGTATCGAGGACTGCAGCGCCACATCCTGGGGGTCTGATGTGTAGTTTGACGCGCCCGAGATGGGCACTTTGGGGTATGAATCGGTGCCCATTGTCGCCGCAGGATAGCTGCCCGTACCAGATGAGGCGACCTGGGGGATGGAGGCATTGCTGCTGCTTGCACTCCATGCCGAATATTGACTACAAAACCAACATCAGTTAGAAAAGCGGTGTTTACCAAGATGACAGATTTAGCTTCTGGAATGGCTCACTTGGACCTCAGTGAGCTCAGCTGTCCACTTCCCGGGACTTTGGGAGAACTAAAGGTGAAACTCGAGCGCGGTACTTGAATGTCCACACTTCTCTTGAGCTCTTGAGGCTTGACGCTCAAAGCTCCAGCGACAACCCCCAGGCCAGTTTCTACTAGAGCCTGGCCCCTTGATCCGGCACTCGAGCCGAGCAGGGGAATCTCTTTACGGGCCTGGAAGTTGCGAGGGCTGCGGCCCCGTACTACAATAGGAGCCGTCGTGGCTTCTGTCAAGACAACCTTGGAGTTGTCGGACAAGGTTCCAAACACCTTGAGGTGAAGCACAAAGTGCTGCTGGAGCTCCTTTCGTCGACCGTTGTTTGCTGTAGCGCTGTTTTGATGTCAGCAGTCTGTATCAAGGGGAGGATCGCAGCCCAAAGGGACGAGCAGTAGGGTGGAGGGGTTCGGGTTCAACAAACATTCTGAACTGCAAGCGACGCCAGCCAATGGGATAGACGGCGTAGTCTCCATCAGGCTCGGATCCATCGTCCTGGAAAGGGATCAAAGGGAGGGCGGCAGGCTCCTGATCCGGGCTCTGGTTGATTTCGGGGGCATTCGGTGGAGGGGTCTTCCACGGGATGACAATAAGACGAACAGGGTTGCCATCTACAGACTCGATGGCGGAGATGGCGACCTCCATACTGGACACGGGGAGCGTCTCATTGCTCTCGTTAACCACGGAGAGCTGTCCCCGGGGGGTAATCAGAGAGCCGCTGATCTGGAACAGGTTTCTTCGGTAGCAGGTCAATTCGGGCTGAAGGGCAGTTCCGTCGCTGGCAGTCGATGGCATCTCGGAAAGAAAGAACATGCCATGGAGCTGGGCCGAGAGCTCCAGCTGCTGCATCCGACCTTGTTGATCCACGATGGTGTGCTTATCTTGCGTTCGTCTGAAAGCCAAAAGCTTGTGATCTTGGTTCACCGTCAGTCGAGAGCCGTCCTCCCGCAGGTCTTGAACGATTTCCTGATAGGCTGCCGGTTCAGTCTGCGAGAAAGGTCTCTTCAGGCCGGAGTAGCCATGCTGAGCGGACAGGCTCGGCTGTGGGTGTCGATCATACGCGACAGAGTCTTCCTGGGAATAACGCCCATAGGGGTAAGGCTGCTCATGGCCGCTACGGGGGCGGCCTGGGAGAGGGGATGCCGACGCCGAGCTGTGGAAGCCAGAGTCCATAGTCGTCGTGCCCAGTCTGTTGGCTAGATGGGCGGAGCCGTTGTAGGTGGACCAGAAACTGGAGTGGGCAGGCTCTCCTCTGAGGTCGGTCATGGTCACTGGATATGCTGTTGCTGTCATTATGGGCTCATATCCCACTTTCAGCTTTTACGTTTTGCTGAAGAGACGACGGCGAGTCTTCGAGAGAACTGCTGAATTCAGGGGCTGGTGTCGCAATGGATACAGAGGCAAGTGACGAAGCCGGTGCTGTTGTTTGCCACTGGGGGGGGAGGAGTAAACCGCTTCAAAGCTCCTTTGTAGGAAGAAGGCGGCTAGGGAGTAGAAGTGTCAATGCGATGGAAGAGCCTTGATGAACAGGACAGTAACGCAAAGGTGAAAAGCAAAGAGGTATGCCCATAGGCATTAAATGGAGCTTCAGAACGGCAGATGATGGAGGGGAGTGGTTGATAGATGTAAGAGGTCCGGCACTGACCCGGGAGTGGGAGGATATCGATCCTATTATTACGCACAAGTGCATGTATGTGTGTGTGCGCGCCTGTGTGTGTCTATAAACATGGCCAGATGGGCGAGACGGGGTTGCGGGCAATACATCCGGGTGAGGCCCGCCGGTCCTTGCACCCCAGGGACGGGACCTAAACAAGATTGGCCTTCTGTCTACGAAGAGGGTCTCCAGGGACGCTGGTCCACTCCGATCCATGCTCTCTTGACGAGCAAAAGGACTCCAATAAGGCTAAGTAGGACTCGCCTCGGGCTCTTTGACACAAGCGCCGGTCAGGCGCAGTGAACTTGTGGTGAAAATAGCCCAGCAACTCGCCGTGCATGCAGCCGTTCTTGGAAGGAGGATGGGGGTATGCTGCGGCAGTGGAAGGGGGCCAAACTCGGATCTCGTTCATCAGACGCTTGAGGAGGGGGGGATCCCCGGGATTCCCTGCAAGCTTTTGAGCTTGACATCCGGTGGCATAATAGCAAACAAACATGCCTGGAAGTCGCTCCAGATAGTATCGCCGGTGCGGTTCGCCCAGATCTTTCATCATGTCCAAAGGGGGGCGTGTCGGTGATTCCTGTCTCTTCTTTGCCTTCTTTTCTTTTTCCTTGCTTTCAAAGCACCTCATGTTTATGACCCGTTCATGCAGTCCGTCTGTGTCCTCTGCCGCCGAGAGAAGTGAGACTCAAAATTGTGGATTAAATGCCAGTCACCCATCAATGTATTGTAAGCTTTTCCACTGGCAATTGGTGGTGGGCCGCGTCTCCATCCGACGCGAGACATGGAACAAAGCCTCGACAAGTGGCGTGCAAACTCCGTTTCCAGATAGCCAAAGAACACATGCTGCCTTCGTACATAGAAGGTGCGTAGCCGTGGTACTGCCCTCGCGAGTGTCCGGGAGAAGATATCTAGATGCAAGCCATGAAGGGTAGAGGCTGAGCGCCGGCTCACTCATTGTCCAGATATCAGGGCAGTATTCTTCCTCGAGGTCGACATCATCGAAGCCTGCTGTTTCGCGCTGCTTGCGCACACCCCTCCCCCCCGTTTGGTGGTGCCCGCAGTTCTTTCTGCTTTGCGTGCAGTCAAGAAGGCAAAGAGGCGTATCTCGGGGGCTTTTTGCTGATGGCCCTTGCTAACCCTGCTAGTTCACAAAGTACCTGACGGTACGGAGCAGCAGTACCCAGCCCAAGCAGCAAGCCGTATGCCGTTGTAACGTTTGGTATTGCAGGTACAGTAGTATGAACGGAGCAGACGTGGGCGCCCATCAATCTTACTCGTACTTCTTTGAAGCCACGGGATTTCCCTCTCACTCTATCTCTCTTTGTCAAGGAGGACCCGACCACTAGCCTTCGCATGTACCGAGTGGTAGGCGTGGAGACGATTCTGCCGAGACGTGCACCAGGGGGGCTGATGACCGGCGCAGTGCCTCGAGGCTAGGTGCGAGCCTGTCTTGGAAAGAAAACATGGCTGTTACCCGCCTCGGCATGGTGGGAACGCCACTGGACCTAGCAATTCGACACACTACATGAAGCTGCAGTCGAGGGTCCTGCTCGTATCAAGGCGAGCAGGGCGAGGTTCTCACAAGCTGCTGAAGGATGCATTCCGGAACTTAGCGAACCAAATGTGGCGGTTGTGCAGATTGAGGCACAACACTCCGAGGCCAAGAATAAGCCAGTCTAGCAGTGTCGTTTCCAAGAGCGAAATCGTTTCCAGAAGATGGGCGTGAATGGAGTATAGCACCAAGGCGTAAGAACAGAGTCTCAACTGTGCCTCAGGCTCCGAGATCTGCCTCCTTTGTTGTAGATTACTGCGCGGACAGACACATGTTCCGAGCCAAGAAGACATAGGGCCGTGCAGGCCCAAAAAGTAGAGTACTCCGAACGGCTCCGTCAGAGCAAGTCCTGTGGGAGTACCAGTATTCCGTACAAACACGTAAGGAAGAACCTGCGACTAGGCAGGGCAGCCGCTCCAGCAGTCAAAGACGAGGCAAGCAAAGGCAAGACAGGACAGGATTCGAGAGACACTTGCAGGGATTTTGGTGGAGGCACACCTCGACGGCTGGAGGATCCCTCTGGGAGGGGGGAGGAGCACATGCAGTACACTCCAAGTACCTGTCTGTACAGACAGTGGTGCGACCTGCAAAATAAGCCGAGGATGTGTGCGTGTATGCATATTCGTGTGTGCGTGTGTGCGCAGACGCCTTGCCCATGCTCGAGGTTGTGTTCGCTTGTACGCTTGTACCGAGATAGTACGCATCACAAGTAGTCCCTGTCGTGATCTCAACTTGACAGACTGACGAGAACGACGGACTCAAAATCAGCAGGCTTGCTCAATGCATTCGTATCACATCTCGAAAGCGCAAATTCGAGCAAGGGACAATGGCAAAGAGGGAAACTCACGTTGCTATTCGAGGAACTTGTTCCTTGCCCGCCGAATCTCCCCGTCGACATCGAGGCGACGACGGGGGCAACAGGGGAGTCGCGATACGTACTTGTACAGTACAAGGGTGCCCGACAGCGGAGTCTACTGGCCCAATTGACGTCGCCTATTCGAGTTCGTCCGATCGAGGTGTGTCGAGCGGCTAAAGAGAGGTAGCTTGCGAAATCATCTGGTGGTGACGCTCGAGCACGACTACTGCTTGGATCAGTGCTATGTACCATTGTCCCCGACCGCCCACCGTTCATCCAAAGACCGAGGGACAAAGGGGGAAAGCAACGTCTGAAGAAACATTGTCGGAGAAGTACTTGGTGGCACAGGTCGTAAAAACCACCACCACTAGCCATGGTTGGAGAGATCATGAAAAGGATGGGTGGGCTTTGATGGTGGTGGGGCATGGGCATGGGACCATGGCCGGCCTTGTTTGTAAGTAGCACTTGTATCACCTGTTTGCATGGATGATGGGCTGAAGCTTGATTGACTCATGGCGTATGCGGGAAATCGTGACCCATGGGTAACATTAATCGGCCTAAGAAGAACAGTCGAAGCGTTGCAAGCATATGAAGTACGTACCTGTGCGAGGCACACCTCGAATGCCAGAACAGCATGGATTTCCACACCATGGTTGCTGCAAAGCGGCATGGGTCATGGAGGCAGGCAGGAAGAGAAGTAGGCAAAGAGACCAGGAGACAGGCAAGGCAATACCTAGTAGAGCTCGAAGTAGGCATCAAAGTCTGTCCGGCATGAGAGAGCCGCGAGGAACCATGCCCGGAGCATGCAATCCGAAAAGACAACCCATGTAGCAACGCTTCATATATGCTTTGTACAAGAAGTTCGTACAAACAGCCCAGATGCATTCAGATGGCTGGCAGCAGGAGTATGTCGTACTCGCAGATGAGCTCTGTAGGTAATTGTATGTAAAAGATGAGCAAGAAAGAAGGGTTGAGTGATACCAAAGTGTGTGCGCGAGAAGGTGTGCATGGTTGTGCGTATGATTTCAGAAAATTCGTCACAGACAAGAGATATGAGCGCCAGCAAGCGAGGCGGCAAGGCTGTGGTTGTGAAGGCCGACAAAGCAAGAAGACACCTTCAATGTCATTGTCGCCACCATCTCCGAGGGTGCGAAGATGTGTCAAACGGAGGCAAGCCAAGCACGACGCCAACGCGGCAGTCTGGCCTCGGTCTGGTCCCTCGTCTCCCACCCTCCCCCCCTTCGAATGCCGTGCCCTCCTATGCAGCAATTGGATCATCCTTGCTCTTGATTTGCCTATCGCAGCCACTGTCTCTCCAGCGCCAGGAAGGGCGGCGCAACGGTGCGGTGCGTAAGGGTGCAGAAGGCCTCGAGACAATGCGGAGGCGCTTGTCCGCCCTGGCCGAATGTGGAAGCTCGCGCAGACCGACCCAGTCCTGGCTGGCCATCCACAGGCGACGATGAAGAAGAATCCACGAGTGGGCTCGGTGGGCTCTGTCTAGCCGTCGATCTGGCCTTGGGTCATCAATCAGTGATCAGTCGGCTTAAGCCCCACCGCGCCCTGGTGGGCGACAGGGCACATGGGCAAGAAAGAATGAACTGAGGTTGAACAAGACCATGAGGATGCTGCAGCTCACGCGTTGTACGAGCCACCCCCAATGCAATCCTGCTTCTGTCGCCTGTCTTCCTTTCGTCGGCCTTCCACGGCCCCTCTTTCTTCTTCACAACTCTCTTGCATCCGCTGTCGATTGGGGTAGCGCACGTTCCAGACGCTGGCCAACTTTAGCCGTGAGGGGGTGAATGGGTTGATTGAGCCCCATGGCGCCCTGAGCCCGAGTCCCCGTGATAAAGCCGCGTGATTGCCTGGCGACGCCGGTGCAAGTGGCCGAGGGGAAACAACGACAGATGTTTCAAGCCTTGCATGTCTTGGAGATGAGCTGCTCACGGTAGCGAGCAGCGAGAGGGCCTTGGATTGCCGTATCGACGGAGCTCGAGCAGAAAGAGGTAAAGGCAAGGTAAGGTGAGTTGGTAAGATGCCTACCTTGCTTGGTCTATGCATGTTGGTGGACGTGCGTCTGGTACCTGTCAGCCATGCCCTGGGGGGCACCTGCTCAAATCAGAAACTTGAACCTGGCAGGCACCGCCCGGGCACATGTACTCGCTACTCACCATGTACTGCAGCCAACTGCATGCCATGTAGCA